TAATAATAATAATAATAATAATAATAATAATAATAATAATAATAGTAATAATAATAATAATAATAATAATAATAATAATAATAATAATAATAATAATAATAATAATAATAGTAATAGTAATAATAGTAATAATACGTTGAAAATACTAAGAATATATTTTGAATTATATGTATAGCTATCACTCAATTCAACAGCTATACTAATCCACCTTGAGCCATCTGGGCCTGCCCTAAAATTTGGGTATGTGGCAACCAGAAAAGAGTGGGGTTGACCTGGCGTTAGGGACGCGGCTTAGTGAGGCTTCGCCGCCCTTCGGGGAGACAGCGGTCTCCACTGACCGGTTATTGGACCCTAATGCTTATTGCTGAGATTACGCAGACAAGGTACGTTAAACCTCCGTAGCGTCTGGACTTTCAACGTTCGTCTGTTTTACGTCCCCTGATCTCTGTGGCCAAAGCGTATCTGTATCGTACTTAATACCTCAAAGCAGTCCAGAAATAAGGTAATGGATAATTGTACGTTGCAATTATTGAAACCCACCGCAAGGTACATTCAAAGTAAGACAATCCAGTGGTGGTCTTGGGATAGAAAATCCTCGCCCATTGGATATGTAACGCCACGAGCAAGGGCCTAGGCTCTTGATGGCGTTCGACTGGCCTTTTCCGAGGGAACGGAACGCACTTTTTTGTGCAACAGCCCTTTCAAGCCACTCCGCAAATAGGAGGTCCTGAGCTCTCAATCCCGGAACGGCAACCCCTCGAGCCCCTCGACCAGCCCAGCCCAAGAACATTGTCTCGAACTCTGGAGCTGCAGGTCGACTGAATCGGCAGCCTTGTTCGCACTTATGGCACCGCAAGTGGGCTTCCCAAAGTGAGTTGCTTCCAGTGGTCCTCCAAGAAGTGGAGACCGCGTCACCGGCTGATCCAGCAAACGGGGAGTGGACATCGACATGTTGACTGTCGGCGGTCGGACGGGTTCCTCATACGGGCTACTGAAGCTGGCCTGCACAAGAACGATTCTCGGGGACGACTCCCGGGCTTTGAATACACTCGAAGTCTTGCTGATGGGACAATTGGTACGGATGGGAAAGCGCCAAATTCCTTTGGGCGAAGATCTGGCCTTGGAAAAAGAGCAAAAACGGTCCAGGTGACCTGGTTCAGCTCAGAAAACCGAGCCGGGGCTAGGTGGCAGCACCTGGGCTATTTGTTCTGCGCAGACCCCGGCGCACTAGCGGCGGTCTGCAAACCCCTCCCACTTCGGGGCGGCATTACATTACATAAAACCCTCCATATTTCTCTTTTCTTGACACATTCTCGGCCTGTCATCGACCTTCTCCTTATCTCTGACCCTCCCAGCGTCGCCCTCGACAATCTGGTTTTGACACACAAAATCCGGGGAAAATCGATCGTCCAGCCTTACCTTATCGCCGAGACGGATCGCATCACAGATCCCGTCCCAGGCTGCCGGATCCCGCAAACGCACGCGATTTCCCCAGATGAAGCATTGATTGGTGCCGTTCCCCGGCTCGGAGATCGAACACCTCGGGCGGTGCGTTTTCGGATAATTTCTTGGTGTTGTGTGGTATAAGGGTACGGCACCAGTCGCCGGTGTCGTACTTGTCGCCCGGACCACGGTTCAGGTGCTTGCAGTGCTCACATTGGCATCGCAAGCACTGACCTTCCCCGGAACACAGGGGTTACACCCACTGTTGTCGGGGGTCGCGTAGTGTGGTAGCCACCAGCTTGCTGCGGCACCAACGTGAGAAGTTTAGGGTCAGATGCCCCTTTTGCAGGAGGATTGAGAGGCCCTCTTTCCCCTGCCCGGACAGTCAAGGCTATGTCCGAGAAGATGTCCGTCGATAAAAAAGATCCGTCCAAGGAGGATAGCGAAGAGTCCATGGAGTCAAGCCCCGAGGGAGAGGCCTCTGCTGTCCCACCACAGCCACAGGCCGATAGCCAACAACCAAAGAGAAAAGGGGGTCGCAAGCCGGTAGGTCGACAGGAGTCTTTGTGGGCACATGCCCGCCTCTCCCTTGGCCTGTCTGCCATTTCGCGCACGTCTTGAGAATTGTTATCTCAACTCATGTTCCTCATGTTCATTTTGACAGTGCATGGTTGGGCCGCCACATGCGCACGCATGCTGATGCAGCTGCAGATATACGCTACATCAGAGGAACGGAAGCAGAGAAACCGTCAAGCTCAGGCAGCCTTCCGAGAGCGCCGGACCGAGTACATTAAGCAACTGGAGGAAGCCATCCGGACCCATGAGCAGAACCTAGCCAACCTCCAGGCTGCTCATCGTCATGCCGCCGATGAGTGTCTGATGCTGCGTTACAAAAACTCCCTTCTGGAACGCATTCTCTTGGAAAAAGGTACTGATTTGATGTCTTCTGACAACTCAGGGGTAACCTGCTTCTACAGTCAAGGAATTGCATATGCTCGCCGCGTTCTGTACAGCTTGCTGACAGATTTGGCTTCTAGGCATTGACGTACAGGCCGAACTTCGTGCAAAAACCGGCAGCCCGAATCTTGGCCCAACCCATGTGCCTCAAAACATGGTGCCGCCGCCGCCAATTCAGCGGGCCATTCTGAACAGACACCATGCTCGCAGATCGGCTTCGGGCATTGCGCCGAAACTCGAGCCGGGGATTCCTGTGTCTCCGCTACCTCCTCCGATGCACGCTTTGTCGCCCAAGAACCGGCAGACCCCGTCATCGCATTCGGCCTCGCCGAGTGGGACGACGTCCTTTGGTTCACAACATGGCGCCTCTCCCGCTGCGTCGGATCACCTGAACGGGTCCCTCCGGCCATCTATGCCGCCTGTGCCGGGGATGAAACCAGCACCACCCTCACATATTGCACCCATTCATGGCCTGCCCGGACCTCGACAAATGCATATTCCTGCTCTCCAACAACAAGGAACTAATCACGTACCACGAGGAAGCGTTCCTGGGAGCGCTACCTCTTTCTACCCGACGCCTTCCTTCCAGAATCACATTGAGCAGCTCGGCAAGTTGACCCGGTCTCTTTTCCTTCTTTCCTGCCCGTTGAATAGAACTTTGTCGTCCTAGGTTTTAATGCGTCAAATATAGAACAGGAATATGATGCCGCCGCGGATATGATGGATGAGACAGGCGATGCCCCGGATACGCCACAGGGACCCGGTCCATATCCCGGGCCAGCTTATGCCGGCGAGCCCCAGCCGATGTCTCTCTCATCTCCGGTCACAACAGCACCCCCGGGTGCTCAATCGACCGCCGGCCAGTCACCCATCGAAAATGTCACCCATACTCAGCATCCAACGTACCCGTCGATGACGCAGTTGCTAGACCCGAGCTACGACTTTGATCCCTTCGGACTGAGCGCAAGCATGGCCTTTCCCACTCAATTCTCGTTCGATACCAGCAACATGCGGTGACTCATGCTTCTCAGTGGCCAAAGGGGTCCGAGGATGCTGGGGGTGGACCAGCTCAACGTCGGCGCCAAACGCTTCCATGCAGCATGGAGACGCACCGGATCACCATCGCCGAGTTCTGCTCCGCGCCAAATCAGTCTTCCCAGGGACAGCAGCCAAACTCGGCAAGGAAGGAAGGAAGGAAGATGGAAGGACCAGAACCAAGTCTATTTTCTCAGGTCCTGCGGCAACAACTTTGAATTCACGGTCAAAGTTTGAGATACCCCGAGCTGCAATTTGCATTGGGCAGCGAGGGGTTCTCTGCAAAAACACGACACCATCCCTTCTCATCTTCGACCGGCACCAGCCAGTAAAACTCTCCTGGCTTCAACCGGAAGGACGACCTGGAGAAAAACACACTAATAACCGGCGGTAGAAGGGACGTTATGATTCGACATTTGTACATTGCTTGGGTCAGCGCACCGCGGTGCGCTGTTATGGCTTAACAAAAGTTTTGCTCTTTAAGGATATACCGGGCACATAATCCGCGGATAGTGAGGCTTCATGGCACGATGATGATACCGGCCGCGACGATGACGAAGACAACCAAGACGATGATCCCTCAATCCCCAAGACGTCCAACAACACAGATTCGCAAGCAATCGGCGGGCAATGTCCCCGGAGTGCTTTTCTTGCGAATCCGGCAACATTTCGTCTGCGTAGCGGTTGACACGACCTAGGCACCGGCCACTCTGAGGTTCACGGGGTGCCATCATGGCCACCCGGTGTTTTCTGTTGATAGGATACTAGGTAACGGAGCGAGGCCCCTGTCGTCGTTGGTATTGGGTCTCTCGAATTCATGCTTATTTAACACTAACGCTTACTTTTTTCTTCTTCCTGCGATTGTTATTTGACGGTTTATGCTCAATGTGTTATGCTATGTGAGAGACATTTCCCCTTTTTTTCTGTGTTGGGAACTGGAAGAACCATGCTTCCCAGGGGCTTTTGAAGTACGAGCCAGCGACAGCGAAAAGTACAAGTTTTATTGCATGTATTTCTAGTTGCTAGCATTGACTTCTTCTCAACAAGCAGGGGACACGGGGCTGGAGGTAGGTTGTTCCTCATTCTGTTCTCTTCGGATGTTCCCTTCGATTGCATTAGTCCCGAAATAACAGGAATCAACAAACACGACCCCAGCCTAGTGTTACCAGACGTACCCCGTCGTGAGATGCCTGGGACGTTGAGGTGTTTAAATAACTGCAGCCCAAATGATTTGACTTGTTTACGGATTAAGGGGCAAAGCTTCCTTTTGATACACCAATACACCGAAGGGGGCCAAACCACCTTACCCAGAGTTGACCTGCTTCGTTGTCATGCTTTGCCAAACTGTAGCGAAAAGACGACGACGAAAATGAATAGAATTGCACTAGGGATGTAGATAATGTTTCCCTAGGGATGTTGTTTGTTTTGCACGATGCATGCCTTCGGCAACCTCGATCGCTCACTTGTTGTTCCGGTGAATCGGTTGCCGGATCGCAAAACAACAAAGGAGCCGAAGCCCTAACAAAAAGGACCCCGCGCACAAAAAAGGGAAAAACGCCTGCTTTCGACTCGGAGAGCGGTGGGGCAGAAAGTGATCCGTGCAGCACTGCAGCTCCTCCTCCCTCTCTTTTCCAGTACACGGTTGTCACGGCCCAGCAGGGAAAACGAAAATTCCGTCGTGGACCGCCACCGGTAACAATCAAGCGCACTGAACCAGGGCTCGTTCCTGCTCGGTGCCTGATTCATCACCACTTCCCCCAATTCAATTCACTCCGTCCGGAGCTGTGTGGTTGCTTTAAAAGGACACGCCTTGAAGGGCGATAAACCACACCGGCAAGATGGTCTCTCACCAGGTACGTTTTGCCTTTCTCGAGCTGGCCTTTCCCGCCTCGATTTCTCGGGCATTTTGCGTGTGCGGGACCTGCTTTCCTCGGCCCAATCGCGCAATTATCGCGGCTTGGATAGCTATCTGTTACTGGAGAACCCGCCATATCCGCTTCAGAAGCTGACTCGTCGATGGTTTGCAGAACATCTTCAACATCCTCGGTTAGTCGTCACCCGATTCACCCGATTCACCGATCGGCGTACAACCTTAAGCTTCGCAATGATCTGGCTCTATTACTCACAACAGCCTGATGCTGACACGCTGAACCGCAGGCGATGAGGCCGAGGGAGACGAGATCCGGCCCCCGGTCAAGACCGTCGAGAAGCCAGCGACCAATACTGTTAAGCGCAATACCGATGGCCTGGCTCCTTCCAAGGGCCCGACCCAGGGCGGCAACCGTCGTGGCGGCGCCAATGTCTCCGGCAACGAGGCTGGTGAGTTGCTGCGCAGGTCCCCAGGTTTTTTTTTTGGTCACTGACGGCGAGAACAGCTTTCCGCGACCGCAACGCCGGGCGCGAATCCAACCGTGGCAAGTCCACCGATGAGGCTCCCCGTGGCCGTCGTGGTGGCTTCCGTGGTGGTAAGCAATTTGTTTTGAAAGGATCACTGGCTTGTAGCTAATCGACTACCCCACAGGCCGAGGTGGTAGGCGCGAGGAGGGTGACCGCCACCCGACCAGGAGTGCTCCTCAGTAGGCTTCAACTTCACACCGCGTAACTCGGCCGTGACTAACATCCTCCGTAGCAGCAACTCCGAGAAGCAGGCGGCTCAGTCTTGGGGCGCCAATGAGGGCGAGGCCGAACTGAAGGACGAAGAAGCCGGCGCTAAGATCGCCCAGTCTGAGCAAAAGGCCGAGGGCGAAGCCGCCGCCGAGGCCACCACCGAGGGCGAGACTAAGGAGGAGGAGCCCGAGGAGAAGACCAAGACATACGACCAGTACCTCGCTGAGCTCGCCGAGAAGAAGCTGGGTCTCGAGGCCGAGAAGGAGATTCGCAAGCCCAACGAGGGTGTCAAAGACGACAAGTGGAAAGATTTCGCTCCCCTCTCCAAGAAACCTGAGGAGGAGGAACTCTTTGCCGGCTCCGGTGGCAAAGCCAAGCGCGAGCGTACACGCAAGGAAAAGCAGACCATTCCTATCGTCCCCACCTACGTTGCGCCCGAGGCCGAGCGCACTAGGGGCGGCCGCGGCGGTCGTGGCGGGGCTCGTGGTGAGGGTGGTCGTGGCCGTGGCGCTCCCCGCGGCGAGTTCCGCGGTGGTCGCGGTGCTCCCCGTGGTGAGTTTCGTGGTGGCCGCGGTGGACGTGCTCAGGAGAGCAAGCCCCTCGATCCCAACGACGAGTCTGCCTTCCCCAGCCTGGGCGGTAACTAAGGCTGCACACATCTGAGTACTCCATATAGGTGGACATAAAGGGGATCTCGCCCCTCAAGTACGTGGAGTCAACGGACGGGGGCAATGAAGGACAGGGGACAGGGAGGACTCGGCTTGTGGGTTGGCCGCCGACCTCGATGGTCATCTTGGGGCTTCACCTTCTTCCCCAACTCATGAAAGGCAATGCAATGGTTCATTGATATCTCACCCCAAAACAACGAAAGGTTTCTTTTTCCTCTTTCATGAAAACTGATACTCGGTCCTCTTGGTGTTGTTGTTGCCTGGTTATGTGTGTTGCGGAAAATTGGTCGGCCGGTTAGGGAGCGGACGGGGCTTGCACAAACTTGAAGCCTCCATGGCAATTAGATTTTTGTACAAGTGCAATCGGCGGATTGACTGGTTTTCTTCGCACACAGTCCGCTATCAGAGGTGCTCTCAGCTTCCAGTGAGAACGATATATGACCACCGATGCCTATCGCGATGGAACAGTCAGGCCTTGTTTCTTGTTAGGGGACTCGGTCTCAGTTCGATCTTTGAAACAGCAAAGGTTTTGCTTGACGCAGGGAGGAGACGTGGCATCGACATCTCATGGTGATCCATGGCGGCAACGGTGCGAGAAAGGGGACTGTGGGACCGAGTCAAGGGGATGTAGCCTGCGAGTAAATAAAAGGAACAACCGGCTCTGGCTACGGTTGTGGGAGCCGGGAAAATTACAGTAGATGATGACAAGGACATGAGATCTCGTCAATTCTCGACCATTGCCGTAGTCTAGAGTTGAATTCTATAATTCATTCGAAAATGGACCATTACACATACAAGCCAGGAGGCGCCCCTGACACCAGATCCGTTTATATGCCTAACCTCCTGCGAGCTCGGACCGCCTGTCCAACATCGATACCGATGCTCGCCAAGAGCAATACCCCGTTAAAGATGGCCATCAAGTAAAACGGCGCTCCTCTCGACCACGAGTCAAACAAATAACCTCCCAACTTGGTCAACAGCAGAATCGCCGCGCCGCCACACCACGAATAGACGCCGGCAACGGATCCCTTCAGCTGCACGCGCGTAACCGGATCCTTGACCAACTCAGCCGAGCGGTTGCTCTCCAACAACGGCGCCGTCTCAGCAACCCCGGCTTCATCAGCCGCAGTCTCAATCAGCGTCTCCTGGTCCGCATCCAGGCCCCTCGCCGCCGCATCCACAGCAACGACCTCTACCTTGAGCACGCCCCGCCCCAGTGACCCGAGGCTGCACACAATCGCCCCGATCTGGCTTACTCCCATGAGCGCGGCAAGCATAAACACCACCGGACCGCCCCCCCGCCCGTCCACGTCCCTGTACTCGGGGCTCTGCAGCTGCGGGAAGGCGAGATAGCCCGCTATCCCCAGCGTGGTACTCACCACGATCGGCCACTTGACGACGAGTGTCCCCCCATCTCTACTCTTCCTACGCGTACTACTACCAGAGAGATAGCCAAATAGCGGCGCGCAGAGCAGGCCGACCAGCTGCGCCACGCCGGTGAGAATGGACGCGAGGGCGTAGGCCTGGCGGCATTCCCGCTTGAGGTCTGGGGACGGGTCGGTGGGCGAGCCCTGGCAGAAGCCGTGGCTGAAGAAAAAAGTGTTGACGTAGAGCGGGAGGAACAGGGAGATGGCGACGGTCGAGGCCCGCGCGACGAAGCCGCCGAAGTAGCCCAGGGCGATGTCCGGGTCGGTCAGGCCGAGTTGGAGGGCAGATTTGAGGAGGTGGTGGTAGGGGAGGGGCTTCTGCGTAAGGTTAGTTGCCTAAGTTGGGGGTACGAGCAAAAATGGCGGGCTCAGGGGGGATGCTGTTGCTTACGGTCTTGGTTGAGTTGGAGCCCTCGCCTTGGGCGGTTGAGCCTTTCAGGCCGAAAAGCATACGCCAGCCTTTGCCTTCCTCGCCTCGTAGACCGCGCAGCCCGAAAAAGACGAAGATGGCGACGAGGAAGGAGACGACGCCGACAACGTAGTAGCTGTATCTCACCGCGTCGGCGAGAGGGACGCCCTCGATTTTACTGAAACGAGCCGGCAGCGGGAGGAATAGTGATAGGGCGACCAAAGCCCCGCAGCCTGTGAAGACGCCGACAAAGCCTGCCAGTGCCGACGACTTGCCCTTGCCGCCTGTTTCCTGAGACCATTCGTCCTGGAGCGGATGCTCGTAGCTGGTGCTGTTCCGGAAGCGTTCCGGAGTGATGGTCACCTCAGAATCGACTGAGAGCGTGACGCTCGGTCGGCCAGATGGTGGGGAGGGAGCGCGTGTCGTTCGGCGGCCTGCTGGGCCAGTCTCGTCGGTTAATGAAGGAAGGACGGCAGTCACCATGGTCGCTGCAGCGGAGGCGCCCACAGCAAAGAGCAGTCTGGCAAGCAGAAGCTGCGGGTAGACGTTGCGTGCCTGAACGAAGAGGAGTAGGGCCAGGCCAATGACTGCGTATCCAGTGACGGCAACATATCGCACGCCGCTTCGGTCTGAGACGAGTCCCCAGATGGGACACGCGACGAGGACTACGATCTCATCGACGAAGCCGAGGGTCCCCACGATATCGCCCACGCCGTCTTTGACGCCAATCAGGTCGGTGATCACAAAGGAGACACTGCTGTTGAGGAAGACGAGGAACGAGATGCTGAAGAGCGAGACCCCTAGCAGATATGTCAACGCTTGGAGGGGTGTTGCTGATTCAGAGAAGGGCAGACGCCGGAGCAGGCCTTGGCTGAAGGCCATTGAAAGAGAGGGAGTCGAGCAATTGCTCTTCTGAAATCAGTTGGAGTTGGCCTGAAGCCCCGGTTACATGGCAAATTGGAAACCGTTGTTTCCCGGAGACGTTGCTTTGGCAACTTCTGTGACGGGATGCTGGGCTCCGTCGGTATACCACATACTATGTACAGTACATAGTATTAGCCCAGCTCGGCAATAAGCGGGCAAGCCAGCCCAGTGCTGCCGCTATCTAATCCTGTCCAACCCGCTGCAGGTCGGGCCCTGCCCCGCAATCCACTATCAAGGCCCCTGTGCCCCACCGACGTCGGAGCTGTTTTTCAGCGTCGCCGATTTCGACTTTCACCGCTTTCCTTCGCGTTGCGACGCATCATAACACGGCGCAGTTGTGGGCAGTTGGCGGCTTAGATCACAGTATCTTGGGGCAAGCGACCAGGGGCTCACTGTTTTCGCATTCGCTAATGAGCGTCTGACGCTGTTATCAGTCCTTCTTTCCTTATCCGCTCGGCGACATATTCGCAGACTACGGCCCCTACCATGTCTGCTTCCCTCCCAGGCCACCGGGCGCTTCCCGAGTCGCAGCACGACCTCAGCACATACTGGGGACGTGTTAGGCATACAGCAGGTATTACGGATCCGAGGTAAGAACATTTCATGGGTGTGCGAAAGGGAGCACAATGCACCCGGTGTGCACCCGCCTCTGGTACGCCGCCACGGTGGAAACGCAGGACATCGAGGTGGATTACAGGGCCAATTGGGAACAAGGGCAGTGTTCTTGACTTACCAGACGAAGCTAACACCATGTTGTATCCTTCAGGACCCTCTTCGTCGGCAGCGCCGGCCTGGAACAGGCGAAGAATGCCTTGGTAGCATACAAGCAAGGACACATACAATCAATGACTCCTGAGCTATGGCGGGCCAAGAAGATCGTCGACTCGACACTGCACCCAGACACGGGCGAGCCAGTCTTCCTCCCCTTCCGCATGTCCTGCTTCGTGTTGTCCAACCTGGTTGTGACAGCAGGCATGCTGACCCCTGGCTTGGGTGTACGCTTCCCTTCTTCCTTCTCCTCGCCACATCACAGTCTACTAAGACTTTGGCCCTCACAGAACCGGGGAACCGTAGCCTGGCAGGTAGCCAACCAGTCCCTCAACGTCGCCATCAACTACTCCAACTCGAACAAATCCTCGCCGCTCTCCTGGTCCAAGATTGCCCAGTCCTACTTCCTCGCCGTCACCGCGTCCTGCTCCGTCGCCGTCGGCCTCAACAGCCTCGTCCCCCGCCTCAAGAGCCTCTCCCCCTCGACCCGCCTCATCCTCAGCCGTCTCGTCCCCTTCGCCGCCGTTGCCAGCGCAGGCGCGCTCAACGTCTTCCTCATGCGCCGCGAGGAGATGCGCACGGGCATCGACGTCTTCCCAGCCAAGGCCAAGACCAGCTCTGTCCCTACTCCAGCAACCTCAGAAAAGCTCCAGGCCGGCGGCGCGGGCGGTGATGCCGAACTGTCAGACGGAGACGGAGCAGCGGCGGAGAAGAGCTTGGGCAAGAGCAAGAAGGCGGCGACGCTGGCGGTCGCCGAGACGGCCGCGAGCCGCGTGTTCAACAGCTCGCCCATCATGGTTATTCCGCCGCTGGTGCTGATGCGCCTGCAGAGGGCCGAGTGGCTCAAGAGGAATCCACGCTGGACCACTCCGGTCAATCTCGGGTTGATCCTGTTGACCAGCTATGCGGCGCTGCCTCTGGCGCTCGCTGCGTTCCCGCAAAGGCAGAGGGTCAGGGCCGAGACCTTGGAGGAGGAATTCCATGGGCGTGGGGGAGATGGGGGTTTGGTAGAGTTTAATAGGGGGATTTGAGCGGGAATCGGAGTGGCGTTAGAGGGGCTGGGGGAGATGCTTGGTCCGGGGGGTTACATTATCCTTTTATTCCGCCAGGCACTGCTGGAAGTGCGGCATAGCGTGCTGCATGGCATGGCATGGAGTTCTGTCTCGAATTGGTCGTTCTGTAGCAAGGTGAAGGGTTGAAAGGTACTTTCTCTGCGACGTTGGAAGGCGATATAGGCGGTTTGAAGTTTGCCGGCTTAGAGCCATTGACCATGCTTGCACATTCGATAACAGTCCAACCAACCAGCTGATCGGTGGACATGTGCATGTCCAGAAAGAGTGTCACACAGCGTTGCAGTGCTGGCGGTGATCCCGAGATCTGTTGCCTCAAAATTCGGAATCTGTCAGACACACATCGTCTTGAGGATCAACACGGTGGCGGCTGATAGTTCTCCGAATCTCAAGTAAACATGCAACCGGTTTCTGAATGGGAATCACCCTTGCTGAAACGGACTATCGCGCTATGGAGCAAGGCAAGGCTTGTCTGCCCTGAACTGCGTGGTTGATAACTGACATCTGAAATTGGACGTTTCACAAGGCCAATATGCTTCGAGGGTGATGGAGGGATCAGGCCTGCGACAAGGCCGGAGTCATCTTCAGTGAGCCAGCTTGCTGAAAGGACCGGTATGGAATCAGCGGTAGGGTGATAAAGGGGAATGGTAATTGGTTGTCGGAACGGTAGCGGTCGTTAAGACTGGGCAGTAAAACCATTGTTTCGCTCTTATCTGGTACAATACCTATTGTACCTTGAGGGGACCTCCTTTAACAGGTACTTTCTGTTTTGGGAACGAGGCAACCTGAGCAAACAAAGCGCCCCCTCCTCGTCTGACGTGGCGGCTCGCAGTTGATGATGCGAGGGACCAGCTCGGCTTTCATTGAATCATCCCTACTGTCTGTAAAGTGCTCGCATAACACTAATATTTACGGAGGGATGGTTGCCGGTGAATGCCCTTGAAAATGATGATGAAGCCGCTTGGCCGATGAGGGGAACGGGAAGGCTGCCCCGCAGAGGAAAAGCGAGCCTGCTAATTATCGCGACATTCGGTTAGGTTGGGATCGCGGCCCCGCCCATTGGATCAGGCTCTCTTTGTGATTGTTCGATTTTCCGCAGTTAGATGCAGATGCGGCAGAGAGGATGAAGTCATGACCCAACTTGGTGTGCCAACCCTGCGACCAGGCCAGTGATGGGTCCGGTTCCGGTTCGGGTTGGAAAGGGCTCAGTACAATATCGTATTACAACTCAGAACCAGAATGAGAGAGATTGAATGCAGGCAGTCAGAGCAAATATACGACTATTACGCAGGAAGCAGACCTTCCATTTCGGCGTTGAGTTTTGTGATTTGGTTTGCCCTACGAGTGAAGTCAGGTACAGCTTGGATCTTCTGGTTAGACTAGAGTCGGGTAGGTGTTTTCAAGTGCCCCGTCCAATTCCCGTTACCAGTCGACCCAGAACCTCATGGTCGATCCCAGCTTTTGAGATCTCTTACATCATGAAGATCACATTGAAACCATCCAGTTATGAATTACTGTCTACCTTAGTGATGTGCTAGCCTACCTCGATAATTAAGTTTATTTCTAAAGTAGCTTCGTAAATGACAGAGTTTATACATAGTAAGATAGTCTAGCAGTTCTCTACACGTATGTATTTTTCTTTAAATCTAGTTTAGAGATAGTAAGACATGCGTAAATATTATACCATGAACTATTTGAATGGCTATAGCTATAGGTAAAGTAGTCTAATTCATAAATCTAGGCTTTAAATGCATCAAATAATAGTTTTGAATATATTTCTGTAACGGTCTCAGGTAGTATATTGCAACTAGCTGATGACGACTCTACGAGTACACTGAACTTGGAGAAGGAAAGAAGAGATGTGAGACTCTGATAGCTCGAGAGCCAATTGATCCTCACAGGTGTACGCTCCTAGAAAGTTCAACACTGTGGGTCGAATGGGAATAGCTTCATCCAGGGAGTTTGGTGGACCGTGCTTATACGAGAGCTGGCCGAGGGTCATCGAGGCCCATCTCGGGCCCAGCCCATTACAATTTCATTCAATATTATTATATAAGTATAGTTATATATAACGCGACTTTTTAATAAAGCTAGAAAAATATTTCGCTACGTATAGAACTGCTAATGGCTATAGGCCTATAGCCCTCCTATCCACCTTAAGGAAAGTACTGGAGGCTGTAATGGCTAGGAGGGTGTAGAGACTGCAGAGTGGAACAGTCTACTACTTAAGGAATAAATGAGCAATAAGGCTAGCCAATTTATTAAACTAGCCATATAGCTAGTAGGCATCCAGATCTAGAGGCCTTAGAGACAGGGAGCAACACCTTCCTATTATAGCTAGATATATCTAGAGCCTTCAATATAGTTAATCATATAAGGCTACTAGATATCTTTTAAGTCTATGGCTTTCCTAAGTAGCTAGTGCGGTAGACTAAGGACTAGCTTAAGGATAGAACGGCTACGCTTTACTTCGACGGCTAAGCTATAGAGCCTATACCAGTCAAAGCTGGAGTCCCGCAGGGCTCCCCACTATATTCGATCCTCTTTATTCTTTATATTGCTTCTCTATATAGGGCGTTTGATGCAGGAGGCACCAGAGGGATGGCATGGTATGGGTGTAACTGAATTGGAGAGACGGATGAAGATTCCGACAGAGAAGTCGGTGTCGCGCGTCCTACATGCAAGATAAACGCATGGAGGTGCTGAGCGCGCACAGACCTTTGCAGCGGGGCTACTCTACATGGTGCCTTCCGGTATCAGCGTTGAAGGAGAAGTACCTAGGGATAGTTATAGTGAACTTTGCAGATAATACTAACCTCTTAGCCTTTAGCTGAAGGCGTTAGGCTAACTGCCAGCAACTAGAAGAGAGCTGGAAGACCTATCAATAGTAGGCTATGTGACGGGCACCACGGCAAGGTCTGGTCAGCCTGCACATACATATGATATTGCACGAAGAGAGCAAGACTACCTATCTAGCGTGTGGGCATGCGACCATGTCTTATGCAGATGCTGGCCCAGTGCAGGTTCGGTGCAGAGGTCCGGGACATGGCATATACATGACGTACGCATACGTGGCCTGCGTGGCCAGATCCATTGCTCGGATCCGTGGCCCGGATACAGGAACAGGAATCCTGTGACAGGCTAAGTCAAGAGGGATAGTCTTTGCTAGGGGAAAGAGCAAGCTAATCCACTCCAATAAAGGCCGAAGGCAATAGCAAAACCCAGTCAACCTAGCCTACTCATAGAGCTAAGGCTTCGACGCTATACAGCCTACACCTTTTAGACAGTTTCTTAGAGTCTAGCTAGATTAGCAGCTAGACTAAAAGGCCTACCAGGAAGCTATCGAATGAAAGCTGAAAGCACAAGTCTTTGCACTATCTAGAATAGCTGCTAAGACCTAGGGTCTAGCCTTAGCTAAGGCCCAGGAGGTCTATACTAAGTATATTCATAGTACTCTAGCCTATGGAGCTTCAAGCTTCTATAGCTCTACTCCTATTGGGATTCAGCTATAGAGCATTGCAAAAGATCTCTAGGAGGCCTAGAATAGGAGCCCACGGAGAGCGGCCGAGACTTATAAAGCTGCCCTAACCGGATACCTTAAGGCTGAAACATAGGTTCCTCTACTAGACCTTTATCTCAATAAGAGGCTAGTGTCACAGGTAATGCCTATGCTAGGATTAGAAATGCATCCCATATAGATTAGATAAGGTAAGCTCACTGAGTAAGTCTTGCGTAGGAGCCAGTGTTCCACTCCTCTTAATCAGTGCGCAGTCCTACATTGCCCTGCAGTTTTCCAATGTAATAGTCCCAGAAGTGTATTACAACTAGCTGGTGACGACTCTACGAGTTTGTCTCGAATGGAGAGAGAAGAAGAAAAAGGGTAAAAGACTATACAAGATACCTGCCGTCTTATACATCTCCATCCTTGGTGTCACGGGCAGGCGCAACTGACCACTGCGTAACACCCTCAAACGAGGGACCGTGGTTCGAACTGTCCAGTCGAACCAGGAGTTGCGCACATGAACCTCACACTGTCACGACCCGTGACACTTGGCCTGTGCGCCGATATCGAATAAGATAGAAGTCTACCAAACTTCGAATCTTAGCCGAGAGTTTGCCAAGGCCTTTACGGGCTCAGCCCATTACCTCTAATGGCTGCACACAGCCTATAGTGTCACAGAACCATAGTAGGCGGTCCAGTGCCGTGACATATAGAGTTGAGGTTCCTTGTGTAATCTCAGCAATAATACCAGATTCCCTAGTAATGCCTATTACTATGCCGGGCACCACCTAAGGTCTAGTCAGCTCGCACATACAAGATCGATATTGCTATAATAAGAGCAAGGTCTAGCGAGTCCTAGAGCATAGCAGTAAAGGAGTAGTAATAATGTATATTTGTATATAGAGAGAAAAAGGAAGGTGTAGATAGAAATATTTCTAGACCGTATATCGGGTGCGCATTGACCAGTTTGAAGGATTCGACATGCTTATTCAATTTGGGCTAATCAACTGCCTCACAGCCCCTGAACCGAGGTCCCAATCCAACTGTTGGAAAGCCAACAGCCACGAATTTACCGCACCGTAGTAATTGGGCACCAAAAGATGGGTAACCACTCAATTGATGATGATGCTACTGTCTCTGTTTGTTGCAAAGAGTTACCGTCTCCTCCTGATCCTGAGAATCGTGGTGCCAAGCCATTAGTCACCACCGAACTGCCCTCCCTGACCACCTGCCAAATCCAACACCAACTCTGACCCCGCCTGCTCCTGCTCACTGCCGCCCGCCAAAAACCCACAGTTTGCATCAGTGGCGCCCACAGGTCACACCGGATGCCAGAATACCTACGGCTTTTCGCGGCCTGTCCGAGTATGGCTGCAGCCCTTGAAACAATCAAAGGAGTTCATGGCCAGTTACCATTCATTTTCTGCAGTTGTTCCGTCAGATAATTATGATGTGCGAAGTAAGCGTCTTCTTGCCAGGAAGTCAGCAGGGCACAGTGCCAGGCAATGCATTTTGTCACGGACAAGACAGGAAGGCGAAATCAGCAACTTGGCGGCGCACTGGCCGACGTTGTCCTTTGCGGCTGCCATTCGTTGGAGGAAGGGCATCATTCATCCCAACCATGACCCATCCGTGGGGTTGTCTACTGTAAGTACCGTACCTTACGTTGCTTTCACTGTGGTTCAGTGCTCTTAAATACCAACTTGCCCGGGAACATAATTGTGAGAATGTGTTGAACGGGTTTGAAGAAGTTCGCAGATTGAACCAAAGAGTGTGCAACTTTCAACCGGCAAAAACATTGGTCTGTCGCAGTGCCCTGTCAGTGGCTCGAGCGAAACATTGCAAGGGCAAATCAACCGCTGGGCACACCTGAAGGCTTCTGGGCAGCGCTCCTCGGCGAAAGCGGGAAATCTTGTTCCAGCCCTTGCTCCTTTCTCTTTTTCCGCTAAAGACCTGCCAGGTTCTGCCACGCACATCGCAGCGTCGCAACATAGTGAGCGCACCCAGGTCCAGCACACAGACCACGGGGGCTATCTCCCTCGACAAGGAAGGAATCTGGACCCTGGTCAAGTCCAGCCCCCATCGTGACATCTTCGCTCTACCGTCGAGTTTGCCCCAGGGCACCTGCTTTATTATGCAATGTTGATAACGACTCGGAATCCGTGGAACAAATGACTACTCTGCTGTCATCATCATTCTTACGCTTCAAGATTTGTTAGCGACTGAGAACTGGAATCGCATCGGCTTCGCCAGGGCTGCTTTAACCAGCGGAACAGCCAGGATTCACCAGCCAGGTCCGCCAGTGCGCAGCGTTAACCAGCGTCCGCCTCCGCCTCTACCGTGTCCCCTCAAGCCCTCATCTTCCTTTCACATTCCCACCATCTCTTCTCACAACCACGACCACTTTCGGTCGCGGGTTGGCGAGAGAACAAAACGACAATGTCGACGCCGACGACTGCAACCGCTACGTTGCCTCACTACAGCCCACACCATTTCCGCTATTCCCACCACTCGCATCCGCATCAGTCATATCCCCAGCCAAATTCATCGTCGTACCGGCCTCCGAACTCAATCCTCCCTCCGGCCTCCCGCCTGGCATACCCGTCTCCCAGCTACTCCTCCGCTGCGAGCCACGCATCGGCAAATGGAGTAGCCCCCTTGGCCCTGGACCATAGCAGATTTGTCCCGCACGAGGCGACAGATTGCCCTTCTCGCCTCGAACACCTCTACACAACCATGCCTGCAGGCTCCCTGGCCCAGCCTGCGACGGAGCCACAGCCCCCTCGCAAGCGGAGGCGATCGAGGGAACCGGACTGGAAAACCTTCTATAAGAACGGCTTGCCCAAGGAAATCATCGTGATTGACGATACCCCAGAGCCAGAGCAAACAAGTACAGTGGCCGCCTCTGCGCAGACGCTGGCTAACGGACATGTTGCAAATGGCTCTTCGACCAAAAAGCGGAAACGGGACGATGAGCCGACACCCTACGACCCGGTCCATCACAGCGCCGCTCTCGGCTCGCACACACCGAGCAAGTCCACTGCAGCGAGCGACCGCACAAATTCGGCCATCCACACAACGGCAGCGACATCTCTGGGATCCTTGTCGTCAAATGGCCAGTACGATTACGAAATACAACCAGGCAACAAAAGGAAGAGGACGACTCGGCAACAGATCGCCAACGAAGCGAGGCGGCGAGAGGCCGCGATAGTCACCGATGCCCTCGCCCACTACCGACCGCCTCCCTACCCTCCGAAGAAGGCCCGTGATGTGCACATCAAGGTCATACCGGATGTATGTCGTCCATTCCCTCAGCCGCGAATGCACTCCGCTAACCCAGCACAGCCGCCTCACAGCAAAAATATTCGTGTCGACGATGATGATGGTCACTACATCGTGGTTCCCGACAACGACTTGACGGATCGATGTAAGTGCCGCAACACGTCTGGCCAGCTGCCGCCGGGACTAACGGACTTCTCTAGATCAAATGATCAAGCTGCTCGGACAAGGCACGTTCGGCAAGGTGGTACAAGCACGGGACAAGGTGTCTGACAAGCTCGTCGCCATCAAGATCATTCGATCCGTGCAAAAGTACCGCGAAGCCAGCAAGATCGAACTGCGTGTCCTCGAGACCCTTAGAGCCAATGACGAGGAGAACCGGAACCGCTGCATCCATTTCCGCGACTGCTTCGACTACCGCGGCCACATCTGCATCGTCATGGACCTACTTGGCCAGAGCGTGTTTGACTTTTTAAAGAGCAACAGCTTCGTGCCCTTCCCCAACAGCCAGATTCAGAGCTTTGCCCGTCAGCTCTTTACCAGCGTTGCCTGTAAGGAACCCTGCCGCAGCCATGCTTGGTTTGGTGCTAACCTTGAGCAGTCCTACACGACCTTAACTTGATCCATACGGATCTGAAGCCGGAAAACATCCTGCTGTGCCACAATGAGTATCAAACCTTCACATATAACCGGAAGATCCCGTCAGCCACCACCACCAACAATCACCGCCAGGCCAGCCAAAGAAAGGTTCTTTTGGACACCGAGATTCGATTGATCGATTTCGGGTCGGCTACCTTCCAGGACGAGTACCACTCGTCGGTCGTGTCTACTCGCCATTATCGAGCACCCGAAATCATCCTCGGTCTTGGGTGGTCTTACCCGTGCGATATTTGGAGCATAGGATGCATCTTGGTCGAGTTCTTCACCGGCGATGCCCTCTTCCAGACGCATGATAATCTCGAGCATCTGGCCATGATGGAAGCTGTGGTTGGCGCCAGGGTGGACACATCCCTTGTCCAGCAGGTCAACAGGATGACAAGAAACGGCGGGAATTCCGCATCCAAGTGCGTTCCGACCAATCTTGATCCAAGTCCGACTAGGGAAAGCTAATCCAGCATCAGGTATTTCAAGCGTCTGAAGCTTGACTACCCCACGCCTGATACGACTCGAGCATCCAGGAGATTTGTGAAGGCCATGAAGAGGCTACCGGTATGTCTTCGCCTGTCGCGGTGCAGATTACAAACCAGCTTACATATCACAGGAGATTATCCCCCCAACCACCAAATTCCTGGCCCAGTTTCTGGACCTTCTGCAGAAAATCTTTGTCTACGATCCTGCGCAACGAATCACGGCGAAGCAGGCGCTACAGCATCCATGGTTCCGCGAGGTTGCGCATCCCGACGACGGCACCGAAGCTGCTCGGATTCGTGCCGACAAGCTGAGGCAAGCGCGCGAGCGGGAGCTGACTGGGGCTAGTCACATCAGTCATGCTAGTCTTGGCCCCGTCGTGGAGGAGCAGCGGTTGATACGCAGGTGATCGTCCAAAAGTGGCGTTGATTTCTACACAGCAGCACATGTGGTGTGTGAAGATCGGGAGGGTTCACGAAGGCATTTCTCTCCCGCTGGTATGTGATATTATTCTTATGAATTCGCGATTCGCATTACGTTTGGGCAGCGTCGAACGCGGGTTGGGACGAGACAGGCAAGAGGTTTCGGTATATCATTTATCAACCGCGTTTCTTTGGGAAACGGCATTATAATGAATTGGAGGATGGGGGCGTTTGTTCCAGCTTCTAGATACGTGGCGCTCGTACATCAGGATTCGCACTGGCGGCAAGCGAAGGCCAGTCTTATAGCCGTACATATTCGACACTGATTCAATGCGATGGGCAACGACTCCAACACCGCGCTGATGATGTCGGTTTCGCAGCTCCGACTGCAACCTACCCGGGTTAGTGCCATCACAGTGGTGTGTCTGACGTTGATCTACGGTCCGTCCCCCTTCTCAGCTTTGTTTGTTGTTTACTGACCTGTCCATCCTTCTCTCTCAGCGCCTTTGTTTGGATAACCAGTGGCTCGCGACAACCCCCCACTGTCCAGTCTCTCTTCCTTTGAGCAGAGGCCTTTACGAAGCTCCATGGAAGGATCTGCTATCTTCAAATGGTATTGAAACCCTTGTTGATGTGGAGTGGATAGACATACGCGCGGTGCTCTGTGCCCGGGACCATATCTTTTGCTCCTCCGACCTCCTCTTCTGCCATCAGCATCAGTCCGCTAGACAACATCTCAAAAGGTCTCAGGGTCGGCCATCCTCGAAGGTGATCTGCTCTCGGACCAGAGAACTGTCGGCGTCAACCTTTTCGAAAGCATCATGGCTAAGACTGAAACAAACCGCCTCGCCGAAACCGACATTCTCACCTATTTTGAGACTCACCACCGCCGTTCCCGCGACTACGGCAAGAGACAAGGGGAAAGAGAGCAGCTAAAGACCTCCAATGGCCCCCGTCCAGTCAACTTTCCCACGTGGATTCCTGGGAACTCAGGTATCGACAATTCCAACAGAAACCTAGACCCTGCGACCTCACCCGTCCTCCCACGCCCAGCCCTCCTCGCTCTGGCCGCACTCCTCCCCTTTCACTCCACCACCACCACCACCATCCCTTTCTCCCCCTTCTTCTCCTCCTTATTTTTCTCCTCTTCTTGTTCTTCTCCATCCCTCACCTCATCTCCTCCATTCCCTCACTCCCCACCCTGTTTTGGCTCAAGGGCTGCTGAGGACAGACCTGGCAGTGCTACCTCTGCATGCCACGATACTCCCGTCCTTCTCCGCCTCCCCGAAGTCTGGCTCGCTGCGCAGAGACTCATCATCGGTACGTCCCTGCCAAGTCAGCTTCGTCGACGCTATCGCCGTCGCCGCCGGTTCTTTCGTGGAACCAGCGGCGGTGGTGATGGTTCGTTGTGGGCGTCGGTACCGATGCTATGTCCTGCGCATGGGGAGCTGGATGCGGAAATAGTGGGGTTCTGGATTGCGCTGGTGAGGAAGGAGGTCACTGTCAGTGTGATGTTGTGAGGGTCGGGATGAGGTTGTTAAGTCGAGAGCGGAGGGGTGCGGATGCTGGGAGGGTGGGCGAGGTGGTTGAAGTCCTTGATGGTGCGGCGGGGCTCGTCTTGGATTGGGGAGAGTTGGAGAGGCGGATTGCTGGAGCAGGAGGTCATGGGTGTAGGAAGGTTGAGAGAGTGGGGAGTGGGTGTGCGGCTTTGTTTTGGCTGTTGTGAGCGGGAGGACGGAGGCTCTCGTTGCGCTGAGGGCGAATATGAAGGCCAGGGAGAAAGGAAGGGAGCCGAGGTTGGTGAGGTTGGTGGAGGCTTGGATGGAGATGGCTGGGAGGGAAGGAGGGAAGAAGGGAGAGAAATGATGGAAGAAAGTGGCGTGTTGGCGGCGGAGGTTAGAGAGGTGAGGAGGTGGATCCCTGAGAGGAAAGTGCGGGAAAGGAGGGGAAGGGTTGGAGGCGAGGTGGAACACGACACGAGAAGTAAGTGCCATGCTGGACAGCCCACGAAGACGAGCATGGTCGAGGGCATGCCGCAGTTGAGGCTGCATGCTCGTCAACCCCAACGTCATGGACAGGATAATCTCGACCACCCTGCGTACATGTATGGCATGGACGGGGCGGCGGACTTTGATCATGAAGGGCCTGCCGGAGGGCAGAGCACCTGGCGCTCAGCCGTCTCCTCGCCAAACGCAAACAACAATGTCAACTCCGACGTCCAGATCATCCCGCCCCGCAGCCACTGGCCTTACACCGATCACCCCAATGCCCCAAGCAACCCCGGCTTCGGCTCTCGTTCACAGCAACAAGGCCAGCGCGAGACGGTACACGTCTTCCTTGACCGGTCTTCGCGGCAATCAGGCGGCAGCGACGCCCAGGCGAACCAGCACTCGACAGCCACTGACTGGGAGGATATCTACACGGGTGGTCAGGGATGGTTGTAGGGTAGCAGCTGCAAGCAAAAATCCCACGTGGTAACCACGTCCTCGCCCTGGCTCTTGATTGCCGGGGTTTCCCGCCCAAATCCAAGTTTCTTTTCCTTTCTTCCCTTTTCTGATGATCATGGAAGAGGGTTCATAACGCCATGACAGTTCTGTGGTCACTCCCAATCACCGACTACCCTACCTTCTTAGCGTTACACAGGCGTAAAACTCAGTTTGCAGCCGCATCACCAGTCCATACGACCAAACCTACCCGAGCCACCCTACCCTCTCCGATTACTGCCAGATGCCTCGGTCCAATTGGTGCCCGGGGCATATAACGGAGCGAGTGGTCAGAAATACTCAGCTGTTAAGGGTCACTGCCAGCCTCGACATCACCCAACCAGCAATGGGATTTACTAGGCGTGCATCCGCTGTGACCCTACAAGTGATGCTCTGCTACCTTATTGCAGGCCGAGCATGAGCAATTATGTTCCCAGTATTTGAATAAGGGTCCAGGTTGCCCAAAGCCTCCGCGCGTTCGGTCCATCAACATGAATCCGAGCCAACGCCAATTCTTCCCTTCTTTCCTCAGCGGGTTTTGTGCGACCACCCTGTGGTCCCACCAAGACATAGCAGCTTACGCATCTCCCTCGGAACCCTGAAATCGGATGTGCAGACACTGGCGAAAGCAACCCTAGCACAAGCAAGCCGGACTCGACTGCCGGTATGGAGCCCGCTTCGACGAGCGGAGAACAAAAGACAGGATATTTTCGGGTGAATAAACTGCAGGTAACGATGGAGTCAGAGCTCGACGGTGAGTTTTGTCTCGCTGACCCATTCTGCAGCTGGGACAAAAGGACCCGGAGGTATCGCTACGTCAAGACAGCCAAACCCAAGACCGAAGGCAAATTCTCTCGCTATGTCGTCGCCGTGTCTCGTTTCATCAACACCAAGGGTGTCTTCTGCGGACAGTATCAAGTTGACATTCGAAGCTGCTATTCGGCGGCATTCTTTGAGAAATATACCGTGACACCGACGAGGTATCATTTGGTACCAACATATCACTTGTCGAAGAGGAGGTGAAGCTCCTTTACCATGCCCGGCCAGCCCTCTCCGCACGGCTTCGAGAAGAAGAGACTTTGGAAGCGAAGAATACAACCCTGATCTTTGAGCTAAAGGCCGTGATTGGATACACCAACGAACACTTCGGCCACGTCGTTACTGATCCAGATGCCGTGCCTGTCAACTACATCACATTCGAGCATCTATGGACTTTGCTCCCTCCTAACACGTTGGCTTACATCAAAGACAAGCTAAACCAGGCCAAGAAATACCGGGTGAAGAGCTCCGTGTATCGGAAATACATGGATGGGACCGAGGAGTTCCCACTCTCCGTCCACTACTTGGACTCGGATGACCACCAAACAGACTATCTTGGGCGTCAACCACTGAAGATCAAGTCATTTCAGGGATGTATGCTCATTCAACAACTCCTTGCATATCCCCTGCAAATGCACTTTTTGTGTACGAGAGTCTCCGCGACGAGCTCATCCTTCGCGGCGAGAAGCTGCTCCAATTGCGAGGCCGCCGCCGTCAGGAGTACAAGGGCATGCTCTGCAGGAACGCAAGCCCCAGTTCCGCGGGGCTGAAGAGATGACGGCCATCTTCAACGTATGTACCACTATTGTGACGACAATGTTATAGTGGTCCTTGTAGTACCTACCTTAGGTATTCGCTCACAAACTACTAGTCCCACGGCCGTGTGGTGCTCAATCGCACGTCTTTCGAAGCGCTCGATCCCAACAGCTCACTCGCGCCGTACAGCGTCACGCCCATTGCCATCGACGACATCACAGACGAGCACAAGACATGATTGAATTGGGTTCTTTACGGCTTCAGCCTCGGGAATAAGAAACGGGGTGCCTTTGCCGCATCGAAAATAGGGGAGATCAAGTGGAGTGATACTATAATCGACTCCCTTGTCCTCAACCCTGGACGCAAAGCCTCCATCCGCGCCCTGATCCTCAAGCACGGTCTGAAGGAGTCAGCTACCGAAGCCTTCGACAACTTCGTCAGCGGGAAGGGCAGAGGTTTAATGGGGGGGCTCTCCGGGCCGCCGGGCGTTGGCATAACTCTCACAGCCGAAGCCGTCGCCGGAATTGCCCGCCGACCGATCTACATGATCAGCTCCGGCAAGCTGGGTGGCAGCCCGGTGTCCGTACAGACGAACCTCGCCAGAGTATCTGAACTCAGCGAGGCATGGAACGCCGTCGTTCATTTGGACGAGGCCGATGCCTTGTTGCACCAGCGGACTAGTGACAACCTCTCCAGGAACGCCATCACGTCCATCTTCCTCCGGCACCTGGAGTACTATAAGATAATACTGCTGCGACGACGAACCGACTCACTAGTCTCGACGACTCGTTCCAGAGCCGTATCCGCTTCACGTTCGAGGACCAACAGCTCGACGAGTCCGCGGAGGAGGATCTCTTCAAACAGCACCGGCCAAGTCCCATCGTCGCCGTCTCTTCCCCTTTTTGACGTGGACTTCCATAGTTGTTGTCCCTGTCATTGTCCTGGTTCTCGCCATTATTTTCTGCATGGTCAGTGACACCGCGCGCAAGCGGCTTTCCATCCCTTGATACAATCGGACGGAAAATAGGCGTGATAATGTTCAGCCAGCTCAAGAAGACTGGAGACCAGAACTTGGTGGGTGGTTCCGCCAGATCCTCTCTTTCATTTTCCGGGTTCCTCTGTGGTAGGGTGCCACGTCTACTGCTAGGGCTTGCAGTACCGTTCTTCTAACCACTCCAGCTCCAGCTCGAAAACCCCTCCCTGCGAAGGCCGGGCCGAAAGTGCGGCACGTCGAAGAAGAGGCACTCGTAAAACAAGTCTGAGGGAATTCCCACGTCCAGAATTCCGTACTTGGTCCTTTTGCCCACCCGCTACAGGATGCTGTTGACGACCCGTGAAGCATCCCCGGGGTTGGTCATTTGTCGTCCAATGTACGCCCCGATGAGGCCGGTGAAGAGGTCGAGAACGAAGGGGCGGTTATATTCTGGCATTTTTGGTAATGGGCCTGAGAATGGCGAAGCTCTCGCGCTTACAGTCATGTTGTTGTCATTGTCGAGCCAAGATACCAGCCCCCCATCTTTCTGACCATCACCCACGGTGATCGAAATAGTCTGTGCGGGGAACAACCTCCCGTCATCATCGCCAAGTTCCTGCCCACAGTAGCTGATGTTCAGGGAGGTTGAGGTTCCTCTTCGTGGGCAAAGGCTGTTGTTCCTGGTAACAAAATTCCTCTTCATCGCCTTTACCTCTACCTCCAGGGCTTGAGCTCTCTTCTTCGGCAGGTAAGACCGAGTCCTTCGTAGCATCCTGCGCAGCCACGGTGGTAGAAGCAACCGTGTCTTTGACATCTTTTCCTCCCAGTCTAAGTCCCGCTCCATTGCCCCTCATTCCAGCATTAGCGCCTCCAGTCGGATCTTGAAACTCGACTGCGTCAGCGGAAGCGTGAATTCCTTGGGCGGATGGTCCGGATGTTCGGCAAAAATGCTCTCGCGCCACCCGACTTGTGTGTCGCATTCATACAGCACCTCATCGTCGGTAAAAGCTAGAATATTCTTTGACAGCAGATGCTCCTGGTATGTCCATGCCCGGGTATTCCACTTTGTGCTGTCCAGGAGCTGATAGCTCGACCCCGGGTAGATGCCCAGCCATTGGCCTCGGACTTGTTCTTGCAAAAGAGCCTCTCCGGCCAGTGAAGTATGTCGGGCTCGCTGTGATCGGGACCCAAGAAGCCCCCTCCACGAATCTCTCCCCGAGGCGCACACGATCGTCAGGTATGCGCTCTGGTAGATCAGTCGCATGAGCTCGTCCAGCGGACTCGGCATGTCCGGGTCTGCCTGCGGGTGGACGAAATCTTAGTCTAGGCAGACGGCATCGACCCAGAGGTAGGGAATATCGAGCTCCTGGCACACAAAGATGGAGTTGCTGATGGTGTGGAGGGTGTAGTCCCGATTTTGTTCGTCCAGACCGCCAGGGGATTTGGGTCGGGCTGATATACCGTTCACAGATGAGTATTTGAGCTGTGGAACTACCGCGGACCGCCCCCAGACGTAGCTTAGGGCAGCAAATTTTAGTTCCGAGTCCGAAACGGAGACGAGCCTGCGTTCCTTGATATCGATCATCTAGATGAGCTTCCCGGCCGTGAGAAGTGGCTCCCGTTGACAATGGTTACCATGCTTATGGCACAGCCGAAGCCACTGGGAGAGAAGACTCATCTCGGCAGTCTCCCCAAACCATCCCGTCTGCCATGAAGTTCCAGACACCGAGGTCAGTCAGCAAATCGCCCAGCTCAGCCCGCCGCTCGCGGAGCCCACGGTCATATATATACCCTTTCATCCACTCTCAAACCCCCCTCTTTCGGAGCGAATATCGGAATGCAGCATGAGTGGCATCCCGGACAAGGTGGCCGGTCTCAGGGCCAGGGCGTGAATCCACCTAGTAATGTCCAGGCCCATGAGCGATACTCGGATCCTGAGGAGGAGCTTTCCGGCCTGCATAAGGTGGCTGATCAGGACCATGGTGTTTGATCTCGGGCTGCCCATTGTGAGGGATTCTGCCCTGACATAGCTGAGGATGACCTCCTCTTCAGCCTGGTCTCGGTGGATTCGTAGACGCGGGTCGAAGGGGACGTCATGGAAAATGTCGACAGGGGTGTCATCGCGACTAGTGGTACCGATCGACTCATCATCTTCATGGTCGGAACTGAGGGCATAGGAACCGCTGCTGTCATCGCCTATATTGCCAATTGGCAGTCGACTTATCATTAGAGGAACTGTCGTAATCAAACTGGCGTCGTCGGGGCTGTCGTCGTCATCGTTATTCCCGAGCTGACTGACTGGTCGTCGTCGAGATCGGCCTCGCCATCACTACTATCGGCGCTTATCAACTCATCGTGGCTGTCGGAGTCCCCGAAACCACCACCGTCAGGACCGTTGCCATTGGAAGAATAACTGGTGTTGCCACCACTACTGCTGCTGCCGATTAACTCATCGTCGTCGCTGTCAACATCCTCGTCATCTCCAAAGCTGCCGCTATGATAAATCGTTGTCTCTGTGCTAAGCTTGGCCACGATGGCATGACAGACGAGGCGGCAGAGGGGACAGTCTTGCCGAAGGAGCATGCTCTCCAAACAGCGGCGCGACTCAGGAAATCTGAACGAGGTGCCGCTGCCGCCGAGTACAATTACTCGCATTCCGTTCAGGTAAAACTCGGTATTCAGCTCGGCGCAACGGAAGCAGGGTGTATTGCCATTCATGGTGTGCTCCGGCTCCGCCTTCGAATCCACGGACGACGGCTCCATGGAGTCCAATTTCATAACCTAGGGCTGCAATAGAAACCTTGGAGATGAGCAGTCAAAAGACGCTTTGAGTGAAGCGGATGAATTTTGCTGAGGATCTTTTGATGCCGATGTGGTAAAAGCTTCTTGGTGACTCCGAAAGTTCCCAGGCACTTCGACGCTTGGGGGATAAGGGGCGATGGTTGGTCGCACCTGCCGTCTTTTTGGGCATATGGAGTTGGCAAGTCATTTGGGGTGGTATTCTCCGGACGCCAGTTGTCTACACTTGGTGTAAGCCTAGCTATATCATCGGTCCATACGATTGTCTCTCTAACGTAAGCTCTTGGGTTGCCGTTTTTCAACCTCCGTCAATGAAGCGCTTGGTTGGCTCCCGCCGTTTCACGGCGTTCACTCCTCCTTCTCATCGACCTTCTCCGCCTCGTCCAACAACTCCCTCAGCGCGGGCAAGAACATCTTGGCCTGCTTAAACTCGCCCAGCTTGACCCTCATCCCATCAAACGCAAACAGCACCTCCACATCCCTTTTACTTTCCGCCTCCTCCTCCGCCTTCACCGCCTCCTCGCTCACGACAGGCAACTTAGGATACCGCTGCGAGAAGTGCGTCAGCAAGATCCGCCGCGCGCGCATCTGCCTGCCTATGTCGAGTGCCTCGGACAGCGTCGAGTGCTTCTTGGCGAGCGCGTCGCCGCTCAGGTCGTCGTCGAAGGTGCACTCGTGGATGAGCAGGTGCGCTCCCCTTCCGAGTTCGGCAAACGCCGGCGACGGCCGGCAGTCGCCTGAATACGCGATCTTGAGGCCCGTGTCGGGAAAGGTAAAGACGGCGGCCGTGGCCTCGAAGCAGTGGTCGACGTAGCAGGCCTCGACGCGCGGGAGGTAAGGGGTGTGTTCAGCGTAGCTGTGGTTGTCGTAGTAGGTCGGGTTGGAGACAGTGCCCGGCACCGGTCGGTTATTGGCGGTGCTAGGCCGGAGATTGATCGGGACGAGGCGCTCCGGGCTCAGTTCTTGCACCTGGTGGAATTCGCGGACAAAGCCTTGGTACTTAGGCGTGGCGATGATGGCGAGCCGGCACCCGTCGTCGGTCGGGACGACCTCGCGCCAGCGAGCGATGATGCTGATGGTGCCTAGGTGGTGGTCGGCATGGGCGTGACTGATGTAGATGGCACGGAGATCCCGAATGATGTTGTCGGCACCCTGATAGCCGAAGCAGCGCCGGAGTTGGCCGAGCGTGTTCTCACCACAATCGAGGAGGTAATTGCCCCAGCCCGGAACCCGGAGCAAAGTGGCCGACACGTTACGGTACTTGGACGGCATGGCCGAGCCGGTGCCCAGCGGGATGATTTCTGCCTCGGGACACGGCAAATCTCGTTGTGACTGCTCAACCTCGGCGAGGAATGCACGTTCAGAAATGGACTTGCGCGCCAGCTCTGCCAGGTGTAAGACTTGCGGCATGAGAGTGATCAACTCCTTGATGGGTTTCGTCGTGTCCATGACCGGGACGAGAGCATCGGTAAGGAACGTTGGTTTGGGAGCAAGCTGAAACTTCAGACCTGCACGACCGATCTCGGTGACAGGCTCTAAGTCCTGGCCAAGACTGGACAGCTCCTTGGTGTCATATATGGGTAGGGGAAACCTGTGCTCGTCGATGCGGTTCATCTTGATGATCTGCGAAGCGGGGGACTCGAGCGCTAGGAGGTTGGGGCACACGGCCTTGCCGAGAACTATGTGCTTGACGGACGGACGGGCTTTTATGAAGTTGCGCAGCTCGGGGTCCTCCAACGTGATGTGGTTGGAGAGGATCCAGTACATGTTATCGACGCCCTGCATGATTCCGGGGTCCGACCACTCTTGCCGTTTGAGCAACTCAGGGATCAGGTCTGCTGAGGGGAGGTCGACAACGGCAAAGCCATGGCCCTCAATTGGAGTCCCTATGACCATATCCGGGGTGACGACGGCCCCGTCCTTTCCGGGCACGCTCTCTCCAGCCGTCAACTTTTTGAAATCCGTCCTGGCGACGCCGAGCCTGTTGGCCTCGTCGACATTGAACTTGCCTCGCCGCGGTTGGCACTTGACAATGTAGCACATGGATTGCTTGGACGGCCGGGTACGGGGCAGCTGCTCGATCTTGGCTGCCGGCCAGGGCAGCCGCACGAGCACTTTGGTGTCAGGAGCCTCGGCGGGTCCCGGGCCGGCGTAGGGCTCAATGTGGCCTTTGTCATTTCTGACGAAGACCTTGGCAGGGAGCTCCACGTCTGCGAGCCTCATCTCACGCAGCGTATCGAGCTTCCACTGGGAGTTGAACATGTCCTTGACGACCGCCTCCCGAATGCTCTGGTCGGCCTCCTCGGAAGTCAGACTTTCCTCGGCGGTAGGCTCGGACTCCGAGGACGGGCTCAACTTCCGCTTCTTAGGCGAACGGGGCTCGGAGGCCGGTGCTGTTGGGGGTTCGTTGGACAGTGGTATGGACCAAACCCTGATATTCTCATCCTCGTAATCCGGTTCGCTCTTCTTGTCGACACCAGCGCGGGTATCCTGCCGCACTTCCCGGGGATAGACAGGAAGAGCCTTTCTGAGGATGAACCGGCGGGCCGTGGCCAGCAGGTGCACCAAATTCTTTCCGCCGTGTATGTTCAGATGCGCCACAACGGATTTCGTGTCCTTCCTGCCCTTGTTGCGTAGCTTCTCGTTGAGCTGCTGGATATCGGCAATCGAGGCGGCTTTGAGGTCGGCTATCGTGAGGATCATGCCGAGCAGGCCGCCGGTGGCATCCCAGTCGACGGAGCCCGTAAGGAAGATGTCGTGGATTTTGGCGAGCGAGATCTTGCGCTGCACCATGGTGCGCTGCGTGCCTTCGGCCATGCGGCCAAAGAGGTAGCGGCGGTTGTCGAAGTGCAGCATCAGGCACCCCCCCGGCGTGTCGGCCGTGGGGGTGTTCACGATCTGGACGTAGCACAGCATGCCGCTGGACGGGCGCAGGCGGGTGATGGGTGGTTGAGGATCGTCGGGGGCGCCGGTTGGGATGAGGATGAAACGCGGAGTGCCTGTCCGTTTGTTGTCGAAGCCGTTCCGGACGTAGTAGACCGTGGTCTCGGGGAACAGCGACTTGGGAATCACCGGCAGGATCTCTCGCGGGATGTTGACGAGTGGCGACGGTCTATTTCTGGCCTGGAGTTGGGCGACGGAGCGGAAGTAGCGAGCGAAGGGTGCGCAGACTCTCCAGAGGGGTGACGATAACCGCCGATGCCAATGCAGCACTTTGGACGAGACGCGGACGACCTTTGGTGCTGCATACATTTATGAGCGATCCAGCGCCTCTCTACGCCCCTTGTATGCCTTATCTCTTGACTCCTTTACGCCCTCGTCATTCTCGGTCCTGTCGAGTGGGAGAAGCCTGGATCGATTCACCGTTGACTCGATCTCCGACGGGCTACATGGAGGCTGTCCTTGCCGGGAGAAAAGCGCATTTGAGGCGCGCCGGTCCTTTTTCTCTGCCATGCCGGGTCTTCTTCTCGGTAAGACTCAATGTGGCAAGCGGTGAAAGCTGCGGGTTAGGGTAGTAGCATCATTCCGAGGAGAGGTATTATATTCCGTGCTCCGTGCAAGTACAAAGAAAGTTAAAGGAGAGGAAGGGTGGAGGATGAAAGGTGAGATTGTAAACGAAGGATGAAGAAAGAGAAAGAATAAAGATAAAAGAGCAAGAGAAGCAAAAAAGAAAGCGAGTGAGAGGAGAAAGGGGAGATGGGAATACCTAGGCAAACCTAAACACCTTCCTTTTTTTTTTCTATTAGTTATTTGAGTCACGGGATGGAAAACAATCTAAGTTAGGGTCGAATTCCATACACCGGAGGTCATTTAACCTGGTATGTATCCGTGTCCCCAACTGGCATATACATAAGTCGCGTTGTTGCCCCATAGGTCTATATCCCTCTATGATGAAGCCGCTTCCTGCTTCGTAAGGTATTCTTCCGTCAAATCCTCCTCATCGCTCTACCTGAAACACAAAACCCATCCCGACCCTCCCAAGCATACCCAGTTAACCTTTCTCTTTACCCCTTGACCGTAGTCTAGCCCCTTAGTCCCTTACCCCCATACCCGTCTCCCTCATCGCCTCCCTCACAATCCCCTCTGCCTCGGTAACCACATCATCCCCTCTCCGCCAAGTATACAGCTTGACCCCCTGGGCATCCAGTATCTCGTGCGCTCTCGCCAGCCGCCGCAGCCACAAGTCCACCTTTTTGTTGGCAATGGCCACCGGAGCCGTCGCCGGCCCGTTCGGCGGTGTCGCCGTCTCGGTGATGTTGCTGCTGCCAGGATACGCGCCAGCTACAGCAGGGAGGGGATCTATCCCAGCAAAGTCTGAGAAGGAGGTATTATTCGCGGCGCTGCGCTGCTGCTGCTGCTGTTGAGACTGTGTGGTAGGGGCTGTACCACGGCGACGGGGAGGCGGGGGCGGAGGAGGCGTTGGTTTGGAGGTGTTGGGTGGTGGTGTGCCCGCAGATGTCTGTGGTCGGGGTAAACCTGGGCCACTCTCAGGCCCCGAAGGATGGCTTCTCTGAGTGTTAGTGCTCGTATCTGATAGGTTGCTACGCAAGGCAGCGGGTTTGGCCGGGCGCGGCGGTGGTGGTTTTCGGGGGAGGCTATCGGAACCTGGCGTGCAGGGTTTTCCGCTATAGGGGGTGCTCTCGGGCCCAGAGGGGTTCCTGCGCTCAGTAGGTGAGCTCACATGCTCAGGCTCATCAAGGTCTATCAGGAGCCCCATGGCTGGTCCTGGACTTAGGGTCGGGCCTGTTGTTGACCGGGGAGGAAGCTGTGGCCGCTTCTCGGACTCATCGTCGACCTGTATGTTTTCGAGCCTACCCTGAATGCTGCCTTGCCTGCTGCGCTGAGCGGAGTCGATGGTGAACGAGGAGTCGAAGAAGCCTGTTTGGTCAGGAGTAGTGACATCCCGTATAAAAACAGCCAGGATGCGGCCTGGGTTCGCTTGGACAAGCTCCGTATAAACCTCCAGATCTGCCTCGCCGCTGTCGCCCACGAGCAAGAACTTCCGTTCCGGAAAATCTCTGATAATTCTCTCTAGTGTGCCCTTCTTTCTCTCCGCAACTGGCTCGAAAATACCCTGCAGCATGCCGCTGTACTGCTTCAGGTGGATCGATCCCGGAGGCAATCCGGCGGTGTGGAAGAAGGTGGCCAGCACAGGAAACAGCTGCCACGGGCTGTTGGAGACGTAGTGCACCATGACACCCAAATCCTGCATTCGGTGGTACCATTCTCTGACCCCCTCGATGGTCAAGTCTGCCAGGTCCCGCACAAAGGTATTCCTGAAGATCTCGCGAGTACCCATCCCGATGTTGGAATGTTTTACCGTGTCATCGACATCGCTGATCAGGCTGACGCCCCTCGACTCAATGACCTGGACAGGTTTGATCGTCGAGATGTCGTTTGCCAAGACCCTTACATTCGTCGGCACGAAATCGAGGGCGACCCGGGCGCTGAAGTGTCCCGAGTCGTCAGTTGATACCGTATGGCTCCGGGACTGCTCGTCATTGTAGAAGAAGATGCTAATAGGGACCTGCACCAATGGCGTCGTCATGAATGGGCCCAGACGCGCCATCAAGTTTGCGTTCGCAAGCGCGAGTTCTGCCTCCGTCATGTCCGCCTGGGACATGGAGGACGTCCTGGCCGACAACGTCGGCGACGGAGGCGGCGAAACACGGTCGTGGTTTTTCCCCTTGGAGCCGCTGGGGGATTCGCTATACGCTCCTCTGATTGCCATCTCCTTCTCCTCCTGCCCTCGCCGCTCAATCTTCCGTGCCTCTTGCGCTATCCTTTGCTGTTCCTTCATCTCTTCAGACAGTTCATTCGAGTTCGCCGCAGGGTCCGAATGCGCGACCGGCGCCGGGATTCCGCTGAGCCTTCTTGCAAGGCCGACCAATATCCGGTTTCGCCGTGTCATCGGTCCCTTGTTGGGCATGTATATCCACCCCCTCACATCGACATCCACCACGGCCTTCTCATCCTCCAACCTGGCCCATTCCTGCTTCCAGTACTCCTCCTCCGTCATGCCCATCTGCGCCGCGTTGGCCGCCTGGAACGATGTCCCCGGCGGAACTCCGCCCTGCGAGCCGCCGAACTCTCGCACATGCCTCTTGGCATACGTGGGGAACAGCACCATCTGCTCCTCGCCTTTCGTGACGATCGACACCTGCGGAAACGCCCCAGGGATCGACACCTGCGGGCCCGACATGTCCACCCCGCGCATCCTCGTATTACTGTACTGCTCCTTCAGCTCGCTGGCAGCGGCCACCCCGGCTCGGTACACGCTCCCGGCCACGGCGGCCAACCTCTGCCGCCTGGACCCTCGATCCGGAGGAGGAGGCGCCGCTCTAGGCCCCGTCCCGTATGCTCCATATCCAAACCCAGACGCGCCGCCATAATGACTCTGCATCTTCCCCCTACTAGCCCCGTGCGCCACTGCGCCCGCAGCAGCAGCAGAAGCAACAGCAGAAGCACGGCCTTCGACTCCTTTCCTAAGCTTGTCGTGCTCATGCCCCGCCCCACCACCGCGACCTGCAGCGGCCGACCCGGTCCCCGTCCCCTGTATATCCTGCGTCCCTCCCGGAACACTACCAGCACCAGTACCCTCACTCCCCAGCAATTGCCTCCTCACCAGGTCCACGATCCTCCCCTTGTCTTTCTTTCTCTCCCTCCCCAGGCGCTGCCGCTCGGCAATGAACCGGTAGATGCGGCTCTGCAGGCCGTGCTTGTAGCGCGGGAGGGTGTCAAGGTGGAAGCGGAGCAGGCGCTCGCGGTAGCGAGCTCGGACGGCCTGCGGAACGAGGTAGCGGAGGAGGAGCGAGGTGGTGCGGTAGTGCGGGAGCGGGTGCGTGTAAGGGCGGAGTAAGGGGCTTCGTGGAGAGCGCGGGGCGCGGCGGACGTGGGTGGATGGTGGTGGTGGTTTGAAGGGAGCGGGAGCCAGGGTTGTTTAATTCGTTGGGGTGGTGGTTGATTTGAGCGAGATTAATTGAGTTGAGGGGATGGACGTATGATGCCTTGCGATTGTGGGTTATAAAGGTAAGGTTGATTGAGGGAAGTCTGCAAATCGTGATCTGCAGTCGCTGGGGGTCGACGAGAAAAGAACCGGCGCAGATAATTCAGACTCAATGATTGGAGACGGCGGACTCGAGGGCGCAGGGAGCTGGCCCTGACTATTGTTGGATGGAATGGATGCAGCCGGTCCGGGTGGCTGCCTTAGTTGCGGTCGCCCATAGACCTTACGTCAGTGACGCAGCCCGTTGCTGTGGAGGCTTCTGAAGTCTGGACTCGGCGAGTGTGTCACCGCCCGGCAGAAAAAGCTCCCAGCGACGAATTCCATCCAAAAATTTCGGCCGCTGGTTGAACGAACACCCGGCCGCAGGCAGGGCCCCGCCATCACAACCAAACGTCCCCTTCAACATACAGCAGTGAACCACCACTGCGACCCAAAAACCAAGATGGCGCCCTCCCAAAAACGAAAGAATCTCGACGACGACTTCATCTTTACCATCTCAGACAATGACGAGCCTGAAATTCTTGAGGAAGAAGTGGTCGACGCTGCTCTGTCCTCTGGTTCGCGGCCGTTCAAAAAGGCCAAGACCGCTTCCGCCGAGAAAAAGAATAAGAAACAGAACAGAAAAAGAAGACAGCAAGCCGCCGTAGGCGACCAAGACGACAATGGAACGGCAGCACCAGAAGAAGAGGCTTCCGGCCTGTGGGGCACCAATGACGCTGACGACGGTGCGATGGACTCCGAATTTGAGTTTGCGCTGGGCGGGGCCGACGCCGTGTTTGACGTGGGCGAGTTCGAGGGGTGGGGGTTTGAGGGTGCAAAGAAGGGCATGAATGGTGCCGGGGAGGCAGCAAAGAAGGGGGTGGATCTGGATGAGATTATTCGGCGGAGGAGGGAGAAGAAGGATGGGAAAGGGGCCTCTTCTGGGAAACAAGAACAGGAAGACGGTAGAGAGGAAGATAGGCAGGATCAGGACGACATGGATGCGGAACTGGATTTGGATGAGGAGGTGCTGGCTGAGGATGCGTTCGGAATGGGGGTTGGGTCGGATGTGGACGAAGAGGAGGCGGAGGAGGGCGACGAGGACGAGGACGGGGATGCTGGGGAGGGAGAGGTACAAAAGGATGAAGACGGCGAGGAGGCTGCATCGGACGACGACTCAGTTACTACGCCCCTGCAACATCCCGAAGATGAAGGCGACTTCGAGGACGACGATGAAGAGGATGCCGAGGAAGAGGCCAAGCGGAAGGAGTTCTTTGCTGCGCCTGAAGAGACGGAAAAATCGGGCAAGAAGGGCGAATTGTCCTCCTTCCAGGCCATGTCTCTGTCGCGGCCTATCTTGAGAGGTCTTACTTCGGTCGGCTTCACAAAACCAACCCCAATTCAGGCCAAGACAATTCCTATTGCACTGATGGGCAAGGACGTCGTGGGTGGTGCGGTTACTGGTTCAGGCAAGACGGCTGCTTTCGTGGTGCCCATCCTGGAGCGACTGCTGTACAGGCCCAAGAAAGTGCCCACGACAAGAGTCGTCATCCTGACACCGACCCGCGAATTGGCCATTCAGTGTCACTCGGTCGCTACGAAGCTAGCAAGCCACACAGACATCAAGTTCTGTCTTGCTGTCGGCGGTCTGAGCCTGAAGGTCCAGGAGGCAGAGCTGCGGCTGCGGCCGGATGTGGTGATCGCCACACCTGGTCGTTTCATTGACCACATACGGAACTCGGCCAGCTTTGCCGTTGAGACGGTTGAGATTCTCGTACTCGATGAAGCCGACAGGATGCTCGAGGACGGCTTCGCGGACGAGCTGAACGAGATCTTGACAACCCTGCCCAAGTCGCGGCAGACGATGCTCTTCTCGGCCACCATGACATCGTCCGTCGACAAGTTGGTTCGCGTCGGCATGAACAAGCCCGCCCGGATCATGGTGGACTCGCAGAAGAAGATAGTCGGCACGCTGACACAAGAGTTTGTACGACTGCGGCCGGGGCGCGAGGAGAAGCGCATGGGCTATTTGGTGCACATCTGCAAAACGCTTTATACGGAGCGCGTCATCATCTTCTTCAGGCAGAAGAAGATTGCTCACCGAACCCGCATTATCTTTGGTTTGCTAGGGCTTTCATGCGCAGAACTGCACGGCAGCATGAACCAGGCTCAGGTACGAGTCTCCCAGCCCCTCTCTTCTGACCTCGGTACTAATGATCCATAGCGTATTGCCAGTGTTGAGGACTTCAGGGATGGCAAGGTGAGCTTCCTGCTCGCCACGGATCTAGCTTCTCGTGGTTTGGATATCAAGGGCGTCGACACCGTCATCAACTACGAGGCCCCGCAGACACTCGAGATCTACGTTCACCGTGTGGGCCGTACTGCTCGTGCCGGCCGCAGCGGTGTCGCCATCACCCTTGCAGCAGAGCCCGACCGTAAGGTCGTCAAGGCAGCCGTCAAGACCGGCAAGGCACAAGGCGCCAAGATCATCAGCCGAGTAATCGACCCCGCGGACGCGGACAAGTGGCAGGCGCAGGTGGACGGGATGGACGAGGAGATTGAAGAGGTACTCCGCGAGGAGAAGGAGGAGAAGCAGCTCGCGCAGGTCGAGATGCAGGTGCAGAAGGGCGAGAACCTGATCAAGTACGAGGAAGAGATCAAGTCACGGCCGAAGCGGACGTGGTTCGCGACCGATATGGATAAGAAGGCGGCAAAGGAGGCCGGCCGGGCCGAGCTCAACGGCCTTCGGGAGGCCATGAAGAAGAAAGGAGAGGGCAAGCTGAGCAACAAGGACAAGAAGAGGCTTGACTCTAAGGCGGAGAGGGGCGCTGGGCTGTCGTGGAAGAAGGGCCGGGCCGAGAGGGATGGCAAAGGGGCGGTGCTGAACGTGAAAAAGGTGAAGAAGGCCAAGCTGAAGAGGCCGGCGGGGAGGAAGGGGAGGAAGTGAAATATAACGATACTTGCCGATGTTTACTAATTGTCGATAGGCCAAGTCCAATCTACCTGATATCAACGCCTGTGCATCTCCTTGGAGTAGCTAAATCATAAGCCTCCAACAGCTCCCAGGCGGCCCCCTTGAGATCATTTTGCCCGCCAAAAGGACGAAATGAAACCAATGCCCAGAGTGTTCTCCTTTGACAGCATGTATTTCAGCGTATCAAAGGGTAACTTGGTGTGGATGACGATGGCCACTCGGTGTGGTATTGCGTAGCACCGCGCTCAGTGCTGAGCAGATGCGTCGTGGCTGGCTTGGAGGCTTGAACTTAGGCGAATGAGTAAAAGAGAAGAGCTGCTTTCCAGGACCTGTTCGCCTGAATCGGGCACCCGTAAGGACTGGCTGCAGGTGAAGGTGCAGCCCAGGCTGATTGGAGAGTGCCTTGGGTATCGATGGTCTCAGGCTCTCAGGTGGAACTATCTCTGCTCTCACACAAAATGGATCATTCAACTTGCTTCCCTTAGGTCTATGGTATGTGCCAGTTGCAGAACAGCTCAAGAACCATGTCCGCCGAACTGCTTCTTGGCTTTATCGGCGCTGCAGATGCTTGTATCAAGTAAGTCGCCCGGTCGATCCTGAGGAATACAACGCTCATGTCTAAAAGACTTGCAAACGAGGCTCTGTCCACGTATAGAGCGTATAGACATGCCGAGGAGGACCTGGAAACAGAAAGTTATCATCCTGGAGACAGTCTGGGTGAAGCTGGAGACACAAATTCACGCCCTCCGTCGCCTCTCGGACGGGGGAAAAGGTTGAACTCCTACGAACTGGCCCAATGCCATTTGACGCTGCTCCAGAGGCTCCAGGACGTCCTGTCGCAGGCCATCTTGCAGTTGGAGATGGCAGCATCGTCCGTCAAGTCGGACGACAAGGTCCTGAATATGTTCATGACCGGGAGAGTCAAAAGTACGCGCTCACGAAGGACACGCTCGACTCGTTGGTGGCCGAGCTGGAGGCATGGCAGGGCCGGTTTGATCTCACATGGTATACTCAATCCTCATCAGCGGCAGCGTGCTGTACCCGGCACTCGATGATTTCCGCAAGGACCGAAAGGCCAGTACGAATGCCATACCTTACCCCCTCGATAACATGTTTGCCCTTCGTGGTGCCATCGACGCAGAAAACGCCAGCACGCGGCACCCTACTGGCCTAGCCACCCTTGATGCCAGTCGGCTTGCCAGCATAAAGGAAACGACCACCATGCGCTTCGCTCAAACTGGGTTGAGAGAGCTGCTGATCATGGAACCTGTGGATATCTCAGCCGGTATCATCTCGCAGAGTAAGAAGAGGAAGGTGGCGCATGCTTTACGGGGACAACGGGGTCAGTCCGGAGGAGAGAATGGCCAAGCCGGCCTGGTATGCGTGGGTTTACTCCTAATAAGCCGTATCTTAGCTGAGCTTAGTCCAGGGATATGCTCTCGTAAGTTGAGAGTGAATCTCTTCCTGTATGGATCTTCTTTGATGAGCACCATGTAGAGTAAGACACTCTCCATGTCTCCAAATAACTATATTTACCCTGTGCTCCGCTGAGCATCCGCATCGCCTCCCAATATCCAATGCCGTCGGGTAGCGTCGAGTAAGGTACAGAACTCCCAACGCCTTCCCAATGGTATAATGCTCCACTTCTTGCTCGAATATATCCCAAGATCAAGCGCCAGTTCGCCAAGTTCTCCACCCCCTGCAATCCTGAATCTCCCACTGCATATTTAGGAAAGCATATAGAAAGTGCCCCTGACCCTCCTATCGTAGCCGATTAGCCCATGCTATCACTAGTGTCACCTCCCCTGACCCGCCAACCCCTCCCCCAGGTCATATTCTTCGACCCGTCTCTCTTTAGCCGCCGATGCCTCCCCCTCGGCACCAGCAGCAGCAGCCCGAATCCTAGCCTTCTCAGCCTTCATCCACTTCATATCCTCATCATCCAACAAAACCTTCTGCTCATCAATATCCCTCCCGCCGCGCCCTACTAGCATCCCCCCCCCACCACCACCACCACGACGTCCAGCAACCCCCAATCCCGACCCGCCAGACCCCCCAGAAATCACCTGCGCCTGCGCCTTCGCCGCGGCCGCCGCGCGTTGTTCATATGGCCTGAAAGGCAACTGCGGCCCCCGCTGTGGCGCGGCGCCCGGCAACTCATACTCGACCACGTCCGAGGTATAGTGATAGAACCCGTCCTTAGTCGGCGGCAGTTCGGCCTCGGCCTGCGGTTCGGCGAGCTTGCGCACCGCGCCCTTTTCCATGGCCTCAAAGTCCTCTGACGACGCGTAGGGCGGCAGGGGCCCCATGTTGGAGACGCCTAGGAGCGGGGAGTCGGCTTCCCAGGAGAACTGGCGCTCGTGTTGGTGTGGGTGTGGGTGTGGGTGTTGTTGTAATTCTTGGAAACGGCGGTTGACCATGGATTCGTCTGGGGGTACGGTGGGTGACACGACCAGCGGGGTCGGGGTGACCTTGTTGGGGCCGTAGGACACGACGATGGGGATTGCGGGCTGGCGCGGCGGGGAGGGAGCGGGGTTGGAGGAGGGGGTGAGGTTGTAGCTGGTGTAGTCTGCGAACATCGGGACATTGTCGGGTAGCGGTTCAAGGGTGTTGGGGGATATGGGGGTGATGACGGAGGGGGCGTCTAGGCGGGGGAGAGCGCGGGGTTTGACGATCGGGGTGGCTGGGTTGGGGCCGTACGAGACAATCGTCGGGGTGGTGGCGTTGAGTTGGGACTTGAGCCGCGCGGTTTCGAGCTCCTCTCGTTCAATGCTCCGCTCCTGTGTCCAGAAGGCGCCGCTGTGGGAGTGGGCGGGCGACTGGACCGCGGTGGGTGAGTGCGAGTGTAATGAATGCGAATGCGTGGTCGAGTGTAGTGAGCGCACGTCTTCGTAACCCATCGACCCGGGGAAGCCGTCGAACACGGGCTGTACTGGGCAAAGCGGCTCGTCCGACTGCCCCGACGTGTCCGAGGCTGCGCCAACCCGCTTCTTCTCTGGCCCTTTCCTTCCCCCGCGGCGGCCATGGTTGAAGATGCAGCCAGACACCTCGTCATCTGGCCCATGCCGCCGACGCCTGAAATAGAGGAATGAGGCCATGGCGCCGATGGCAATGCAGATGAGCGCAATCCCGATGCCCAAAGCTGCTTTGGCTCCGACGCTGAAGCTGTCTCCGCCAGCCGCAGCCTCCCGAGAATCTACGGCGGCGGCTGAACGAGCTGTCAGAGGAGAAGCCGTCGAGGAGGATTCCAACTGATGCAGCGTCAAGGTTGGAGTAAGGGTGCTGTTGGGCGCGGCTACCCCGTCGTCTACGGCGCGCCGTTTCGGGGACAGGAAAAAGTGTTCGCTAACGCCCACGCAGTCCCTGGTCCGGGAAGTGAGCTCGAACCAGCAAGGGTCGTCTGAGAAGAAGTTCAAGTGGATGAGTGCGCTCCCCTTCCGCGGGCTGACATTGTTGGCGTCGAGCTCTGAAAGGGTAGGGCAAAAGGTTAGTTTGATCCGGACCACTCAGGCTGATGAGAAAGGGAGAGAAGAGGAGTGGCGGAGGCTCGAGACGGAAGGATGACTTCGCCTGCAACGGCAAAGCAAGAGGTGGAGAAAAAAGAATCAACACTAACTCTGCGTTGCTCGCTCAGACGTACCGCACCAGCACGACAGGGCTGGATGGGTGGTACAGGAATTGTATGTGATGTTGATGGTGTCGAGGTAGAAGAGGGTGAGGTGATGCGTCGAGCGCACAAGGTCTGCTCTAGGCCGGCAGTTTGCGCTCGCGATCCCGGCGGCCGTCAGCGAATTCGGGAGGATGGGCAAGGTTTGGCGGCGCCGGCTGTTCCGCAGAGTCGCAGTCGTCCGTTTCGCCGTCGCCATAGCGTGCGGCGGAGCTAGAAAGGCGGGATTCGTCTCACCGAGGCATGAATACGCTTCTGACCATGAGACAGGAGGTCAAGGAAGACTAAGTGAAACAGAGCACCAAGCGACACCAGAGAGTTGGGAGTCTGGGGACGATATTGTGGGCGCCAGATTGGCCTCGAAGATGTCCGGAATGGGTGGACCGACGAAAGTGGATGAACGAGAGAGCCTCGACCCTCTATGAGCGGTTGGCGAGCTGGGTTGGCCTCCTGCTCTTGGCAAAGCCAATATTTGTACATACCATTTGCAATATTTGTACCTATTAACTACCTTAGGCAGAAAATGGAGCTACACCAGCCTCACTTTTGATTTCGTAGCCAACACTATCATTTTACCCACATATCAAGGAAAAATAAAGCGTAATATAATTACCTACACTACGAGGCTGATTTCGTTGCTCAGAAAGTAGTTGCATATAAAGGTCAATTTTGGTCTCGTTATTGCTCTAATGAATGTGCCAAGCTGGGGCGAACACCCAGTTTCGAGTCCGCCGGCTCGGCCCCACTCCGGGGCCCAGCCCCACCACGGAAGCGGTGGCTCGACTGCAACCGACCTTCAAATGCAAATGCGTTCTCAAGCAAACTAGCAAGCTCCATGATGCAGGTAGTTACATTGCGCCTTATTGCCCCTTGATGCAAGGGCAAGGTGTTGGGATTGGTTTCGAATTCGTGGTGAGGTTAGTGTAGCTGGAGAGGGGCCCGCTTGCTGCTAATGGTGATTAAACTGTACATATATCCAGAGAGGCTATGTACAATATCCGCCTCCGTGCTCCCGGTGGGTGCTTGCGGGAATGAGGATGATGGGCTGAAGGGGCCAGGGGCATGGGATTGGACCGCCAGACGAGCAGCTGGACGTTCCGGACCCGCTACCGCATTAGCCGAGCAATGCCCACCCAGGAAGGTCGTCCAGCCCTCCGGATATGACCCAACCCATTCTTCAAGATAGCGCCTTGGATGCACTGCTGTGCCGCGACCATGCAGCGGTCTGCCCCGTGCGGTAACAGAGCGCAGCCATGTCAGCCCGTCTGGGGCGAATCTCACGATCGAAAGCTGTCGAAAGCGCCAAGCAAGCGGCCCTATGGCTCGCGGCTCTTTTTGGGGGTGGCGTGGTAGCTGTCATCATAATTGAGTATGGGTAGGTTCTCTCGGTTGGTGATGTCGTCGTGAGACACTGGAACAGTGGGCCACGGCTCGCTGCGCCGCAGTCGAGAGGTTCCCAGGGTAGCTTCCCGTCGTGCCGAAATTACCTCATCGATGCAAGCTAACAAATTCAATACCATTCCCTGTTTCCTCATCCCGTGAACGGCTTCCGTCTCGTGGTTCTAATACATGTCGTCGATGATTCCTCATGTTGTCTCGACCGACATCGCGGGTTGTGGATTGGCCTGCACGAACTTCGCGCTCCATAATTAGCGCGCTAAGCGACCGGGGCACATGGCGTCAATTGCCGGCTGGTGATTGGGCGCTCGGGCCGCACAGCGCCGAGCCCGTTTCGTGAATCTGGCAATGCCCTCATCAGCGGAGAGTTAGAAGAAATCCTTGGTTTTGGAGGACCTTCGATGGAGCGCTGCAAGATACACATCTCAAACATGCCGCGACTGACATACAGATATTTGAGTTGCGAGGCGGAACGGAACGGAACGGCGGCCCTGTCCAGCGTCACCTGGCAGGCTCGCACAGACAGTATTCTGAAGCCAAAGTCCACAGGAGGAAGATCTGCTGGGGCCAGCGACCACAAAAGTTCTTGAGTAAGACGCAAAACCAGGGCACCTGGGATTTGACTGGGAATCGACTCCTAACTTGTCATATAACCTTCACCATGACCTCGGCCCTGGGAGTCATTTTCTGATCTTGCAAATGAATGCCGAAAAGTGGAACCCGCGGGCTTCCGCGCAGGCACGGCTGGTATCGTCACGGTCAACGGATGGTCTGGAGTGGTGTTGATGTTGCGGGCGCATCAGGACCGAGTCACTGGACACCACCCGGGAGAGATGGACCTGACTCGTCATTTGGCTGCGGGCCGTTCCACATGTTCCCCCTAACCTTTTCCCGGGTCGGCTGCGAAGTGCGAACGCACCATCGGTGCCAGTTCCGCGATCCGTTATCCGACGGCAAGCGCAGATCCGACCGACTGCCCCTTCTCCACACTCACTGCCCCTTTATTAGGCCACTTGAATCTCCAAGTATTTATCCTCCGATCCCAATTGAGGTGGTTCTCAACATCAAGCGAAGAAGGTAGCAAAGATAGAACCCAGCAAGTCACAATGGCAGCCGAGAAGACAGCCGCCTGGGAAAAGCAGATCCAGCGCAACCCACACCCCGACTTCAAGCAAGTCGAGTCCTCGCGCCCGCCCTTCAACCCCTCCACAACCTTGACCTACACACAAACCCCGGACCCCAACTGGCAATTCGGCTCCGGCGCCAACTCCACCACCACCCCAGCAGACCAAGAAAAGAAGCACATCCCCATCGACCCCTACGCCCCGAACCGCCCGGCAGGCTTCAACTACAAGCTCCTCATCTCCGCCATCGTCCCGCGGCCCATCGCCTTCCTCTCCACGCGCTCCGCCGACGGCCTCACCACCAACCTCGCCCCCTTCAGCTACTTCCAAATGATCGGCCACGACCCGCCGCTCTTCACAATCGGCTTCGCATGCGCCCTCTCGGACGCAGACCGCGCCGCCAAGGACTCGCTGCGCAACCTCTCGGAGCGGCGCGAGTGCGTCATCAACATCATCTCGGAACACTTTATCGAGGCGGCAAACGCCACCAGTATCAACGCTCCCTACGGCGTCAGCGAGTGGGACCTGAGCGGGCTGACGCCCATCTACGACTGCGAGACGGTACCCGGGGTGGCGCGCGTAAAGGAGGCCGTGTTCGCAATCGAGGGCAAGGTGGAGAGCCTGCGTGAGTTTGAGAGTCGGGCTACGCCGGGGAAAATGTCGGCTACACTGGCTGTGATTGAGGGGACACGGTTTTGGGCGAGGGAGGACGCGGTCAATGAAGAGAGGAATCTTATTGATCCGAAGGTGAGTTCTGTTTTATCTTGCTGTATCCTGTGGTGTAAGGGAGGGCGGTGAAATGGAGTTGTCGGTTACTGACTTGGTGCAGGTGCTGAGGCCGATTAGCAGGTTGGGAGGGATCACGTACGGCAGGCTGACCGAGGGGCTGGAACTGCCGAGGCCGGATTTTGAGAAGAACTTGGGAGGCATGGAGGGCGCCAAAAAGTTGGAGAGCAAGCACGTGGCCAACTGATGTCCATTGTCGTCGAGGTGGATTGTTCGTTGTTCTCTGTTAGCTGTGCTATAGACGCTAGAGGAAACGGAATAGACAGCAGTGGCAACGTCCGACGGTTCATTGGAGATTCAAATCATCTTCCATGAGCGTAAGGGGAAGATGGAAGAGGAGTCAGGGGTTACTTTCTGCCCACCTTTGCAGACAAGGAGCCCGAGCGAGCTGTAGTGTTCTACTTGTGTTTATGTCTGTATGCTGGCCCTTTCATTCCTGCTAGCGATGCGCCAGTGCCCTTCAAATACGAACACCACATTCGTTCCGCCCAAAAGACGACTCCCTTGCGGGCTAAGAAGTTTCACCAAAAGGTATAGTGATACGCAAGACGCCTCTTCCCCAATTCGTAGTAGGTTTATACCCATTTCCCCTTCGCCATCCAGTTGATACTTAGTTATAACGTCCCATGTTTTCCACTCTCTCCCTCCACCCGCCTCCTACCCCTAACCAACTGCAATACTCAACCTGTAACCCAAGGCCTGCACCATAAAGACAGTTGAACCATCAGAAGAACCTCACAAACCAGCTATTACCACCAAAGCTAGAAAAAATATCCACTCCCCGGCCGACCAACGACATACTCCACGCCCAACTGCGCGTCCTTCTCATGCTCAACCAGCTCCTCGAGAATGACATCGGCCGCGCTAGGGCCGTCCGACATGCGGTCCTTTATGTGTATAATCACTACCGTGAGCCCTTTCAGAGCATCGCGCAATGGCAAGGGCGCAGGCGGCGATTTCTGCCGCTGCTCCTCCAGCGGCTCCTGCAGCGGCTGCTGTTGGAGGGGATGGGACGTGGGGATTGTTAACGGGGTGGTTGCCGTTGTTGTCGTGGGGCTGGGGTCGGAGAGCTGGTCGCCGTCTTGGCCGCAGGGTCCTGGTTGGGGGTAGGACGACGCGGATGACGTTGTGGTGCTCTTAAGAGGGTGTGTGGGTAGCGGGCGTGGTTTGGGGATATCTTGGCTGTGAAGGTCGGGATCTGAGACAGAGTTGGAGGCTGAGTTGACGCGCCGTTGGGGGAAAAAGCTTCGAGGGGAGATGGCGACTTCAGATCTCGGCTCCGCGGGCGTCCCCGGCTGAGGGGTAGTTTTCCGCTTGGCCCGCGGCTCATCGTCGCTAACTCGTTTGCGCTTTTTGTCGCTGCTGGTGCTGCGGTGATCCGGGACGGCCTCATCCCTCTCCTGCCGCACGGCAACTACTTCCTCGGCCAGCGCGGTCATCTCCTCGCGGATGAACCGCGGCGTTAGATGGCCAAACAGCTGATCCACGGCTCGCGAGTCGTCATAGCTGCACTCGATGAAGATGGCGACAAGGTGGCCCGCGGCGATCCTAGGTGCCGCCTCCTGCCAGACCTGCCGGGTGCGCGGCGTCAAGCTGACGCTGTCTGGCTCGACGTCGCCAAAGATGAGTACTTCGCGTCCCGTTGCCGCGTGCCGGATAAAGTATGCGGAGCTGTCATAGACACACACCGATTCGTCGACGGGGGGGGCAGCTGACAATGAGCTGCCCCGCCTGCCTGCTGGGGAAGCAGTCTGCAGGCGTTCGTGCTGCTGTAGGATGGCGCCAATGTTGGTCGGTAGGGAAGTGTGATGCGCAAGGTTACGCCCAGGAGAGGCTACGTTTGGGGAGGGCCCTACTCCCATGGACGAGGCATCGAAACTCCCGTGGCGGGTGCTGCTGCTGCCGCGATGGCTGTGCCTCTCGATGCAGTGCCCGTGACTAACGCTCAAGGCTTTGACACTCAGGCCCCCTGACACCTCAAGATAGCCCCTTCCTTGTCCCTCGCCAAGGGCGGGAGAGCCCCCTTCAACTAAGCGCATGTAAGTCAGCAGCCCTGCGCCGTTGTTTTCGTCGCTCAGGTTGGGCCATATGACATTGTTGAAGATGTGTGTCTTCAGGGCAGTGATTGTGCTGGGTAGCCCTGCCACTCTCTTTGGTCGAGTGCCCGGGAAGCCGGCCGTGTTGATGACGAAGCCGGCAATGTGATCGAGATGGGGATGCGTTATGAGATAGGTTTCTATCAGGTCCTGGAGTATGTGAGAGGCGTTTGCGGTAGCCGTGGCGTTTGGCACCTCAAGCCCGGCGAACGGGCCGGCCGTGAGGGTATGTGGAAGTTGGGCTCCACCGCTTTGCCCAAGATCAGCCGGTTGTGTTTGCTCCAAGATGGTCTTAATAGCGCTGAGATGTACGCCCGCGTCAACGGCGATAACCGAGCCCTTAGACCATTCCGACGCAACGGACCGCACAAGGAATGCAGTTACATTATTCTCTAACGGTCCTCCGCTTGAACCCTGGAGAAGTGTTAGTCATGTTCTGGCCGGATTGTATCGCTGGAGCTTGATTTGATGCGTCGTAAGATACGTAGACAAATATCGTTTGCTTCAATATATCAGTCCGATGGCCATTAACTCGGCTAGCCTGGACCACGCAAGGTCATACGGACAATGACGACAGCCAATATGCTTGTAACCAGACCAGAGCGTCTCTGAAGTCTGAAATTGAACGATATGCATCTGAGAGGTCAAAGAAGAATGAAGGGCGCCGATCGTAGCCTTGCGATTGCTTCAGCTTGCCCTTGTGCGTGATTAAGAAAGGCCTTTGTTTAAAGAAGCCCCAGTGTTGAAAGCCAAACAAGAGCTTTAGATTCCCAAGAATAGCCATCTGAAAGGAACCTGAAGGCATTGGTTGACGGTGACTTCCATTTGACAGTGGCTTCGGGTACAGTAACAGTCACTGTATTGTAATGTACGGATACCTTCCGCCAGGTCCCCACCTGCCGCCGTCGACGGCGTCAGCGGGTAACGGCCACTCGCCCCGATATGGGTGCCGATCTTTCAGGGATGTGAGAATGATCTGGGCCACCCCCAAGGCTCTCAGGAAGAAACGGCAAGTGAGAGCCAAATGCCTGAATAATGCAGGAGGTTGCAGAAGGGCACAATGCAGACTCGGCCAAGGGAAGAAACGGGTACTCACGAGGACGATGACCTGCAGCGCAGGCGCATCCGTTGCTGCAGGTGCAGTAGCCGTCGCATCACCAATTGCCGCTCCAAAAACTCCTCCACCCATCGCTGCTCACTGCAGCCTTTCACCGGCGCTGGCGATGTGGCCGATATACTCGAATATTCGTGGGCAGTCGATGAAAGTTTGCAGTGATGGTTGGCCGGGGGGTAAAGCCCGTATTTGTCGGTGTGACGATGGACCTTCTCAAGTTCAAGTCACAATTCCTGTGTTGACGAGGCTGGAGCTGGAATGCGACGATGCTCGAGGGTGCGCCCTCTTGTGGTGAGCCCTGGTCGCTGCAGGGAGCCAGGATAGAATTGTGCCTCGGTGGAGCTCGATCGCCTTGTCAACCTGGGACTCGCAGAAGGAGTCGGAAGGACAATTAGGCGGATATGGCTGACGAGAACTGGAGATGAATGAAAATGATCCTTTGGACGGCAAGTTGATCTGGGTATGGTTGCTGGAAGAATACCTTCAGGATGGGGATCAGACAAGGTTTGCCCTGAGGCCGTGGACTCGACCAGGTCAAAGCGCGGATAGCGGCCTCTTTTGATTTTCTGCGTGCCTTCCCGGCCGAAAGTCAACCTTGAAGTGCGGGCCACTCACTGCAGACTGGACAATGGCGTATACAGGGCCGTAATAAGGTAGTTTGTAGGAAAACAAAGAAGTGTGAATTCACGTATAGACGAACTAGAAAGAATTTTGTTGCACGAACCGGCAGTCTATAATCAGGTTAGACACTCAGACCCTCAGGTGTAAGAAGGCATTGTTATTGTCGTAGACTTCAGGTTAGCGACAGATGCAAAGATGTTGCAGTGCATGAGTTGTCTTTTCTACCCAGTTTCCTTTCTATAGCCGGCGAGCCCGTTCATGCGAGATGTGTCCCAGATGCTGCCTGCAGCATGCGCCATCGACGCGCCATGCAGCTGAATCGAACAATAGCAACGGACGAAACCAAGTTCTCGAAGCATTCCTCAATAGCGCCTTGTGGCGCTAGCTTCTCGGGCCCCACCTTTTGGACTTGCCGGCCGATGGTCGGCGGGCGCCCCGGCATCGTATCGCCCGGAAGGGCCATGGGTCGCCGGTTGCCTCATTTTGGGCGCGCGAGCTAGGCCAGATATCGCACAGAATTGTTTGGCAGCCTCGGTCAACACATCACCTAAAGATCTAGAGTTAGTTGCCCACTGGGATGCAGCCCCAGTCTTTAACAATGACCTGCTGAGTGTGCGGACAAATATGTGCGACTTGAGCTGCCAGAACTCGCCCGTCTGTCGATCTCTGCAGGGCAGGTTTGCTGGGAATGGTACTTTGTCCGCAGCCTTCCAATCACGTCCAACAATTCAAATGGGAAGCAAGGCACGCGGCCATCCATGCTTGACTGATGGGGTTACATTGCAGAACGCACAGCGGTCCCATACGGGGAAGTACGCCAAACCTCCTTCACCGAGTCAATCACACACACATACCCGAATACACAAACACAACTTCTAGTCGGCGAAGGTTTCATGAGCTCTAGTTCCAATTCTTTAGTTAGGTAAATATACCTTGCCATGATGATCTGTAGCCAAGCAACCAGCGCTGTCTATCGATTCCAATGCAACTATCTCTTCTTTTCTAGTCTTTTCTAGCGCATGTACAATGAAACAGGTATAGAATGAATAGAGTTTTTTAACCTGTCTCACTCACCTTGCCCGACACCCGCCCACTCCTAGAAGTCAGGCGCAGACCAGCCTCATCACATGGATTGAATCTTCCTCTTCTTCTCCCCCAGCACCCTCCCCTCCTTCTCCTGCTTCCCGACCGTGTGCTCGACGGCCCTCCGCTGCGCGGAATCGAGCTTCGAGATCTGCCCGGCAAGGCGCTCGTTGCGGAGCGAGTCGTCGAACAGCGGCTGGTACGCGGGCGGCACCTCGCGCAGCACCCGGTCCCGAACCACAGCCGGCTCCTCGCCGAGGCGCGACTGGATCATGGCCGTTGTCTGCCGCGTCACGTGCGGCTGGCTCGACAGCTGCTCGATGATCTGATCCGCCGCCTGCCGCGCCCGCTTGGGCGTGCGCGTGTCCGGTAAATTCTCCTCTCCCTGCTGGCCTTCCTGATCCTGGCCCTCGCCGCGGCCGCGTTTGCGCGTGACTGGGCCGGGCAGTGTTGGGTCGCCACTGGGGACTGTGAGGCGGGACGGCTCGGTGCCTGAAGCGGCGACGATGGTATTTTCTTCTGGCTCGGCCTTCAATCTATCGTGGCGAGTCTCTTCCGCCTCCGGTTCTTGGGGAGCCTGCCGTTTCTTTTCAGCGTGCTGACGCTTCAACTGCTCGTGTAGGATCAAGTCACCCATGTGCAAGCCGATGTGGGCGCCACCGCGCTTCTCCCGATTTTTGGCCCGGCCTTCAACTTCGCAGTTCAGATGCGTAACCGTCAGCGCATATCCAAGCCGTTGTGGGTGAGGGGGGATCGCATCGGCAGCAGGCGCGAATCCCGTATACCACTGCTCCTGAGGTAGAGCAGAGTTTTGGGCTTCAAGAAGGTCAGCGCGGGCTCTTTGCCCATCCACCCACTGGTTGTAGGTCTCGAGCATTTCGCCATGATCCCGAGTAATAGACATGGGATTCTTGGTCTCAGCTTCGAGCTGGCGGGTGTCAGCAGCAATTCTAAAGCCGTGACGAGCAGCACCGTAGTGGATTAGGTAACCCAAATCAAAGGCGGTCTCGAAGCAGTGCAAATGCATGTAGCCCGCGTTCTGCATTGGGTCAATGCCATTGAACTTGCCCGTCTTGTGTGAGAACTCGTCAAAAGCCACACGCCAGAAGCCTTTCATGATGGTGTTTTGTCTCGCCGGGCAGCCTTCAAATCGGCATTTGGCTGAGTTACCTCCTGCGGCGTACCGGTCGTTCGACTGGGCGGGCGTGTTCTGGATCCACAGCGTCAGTTGCCGGTTGGGATTTGGGTTCTGGGTTCCCAGAAAGAAATTCACGAGTTGTTCCCTGGTATACGTGAGTCCTGGCCTCAACTCGGCACTGTGGAGGTAGTATTGAAACAGGCGATCCTTTTTGTCCTTGCCAACCCGTGGGTCCCATGAACTGAGCCCACTGGGTTTCGTGTAGCGGCCACTTGGATCGTTACCGGGCGATCCCTTGCGCCTCCTCTTATGCTGAATCAAATGCTGGTTCGGCTGTGCGTGCTGCCAGACAGGGACGGGTGGATCAGGCAGCACGGGCTGGTTGAGATTATGCAGCGGCTGCCCATGTTGAGGCACGTACAGTCCGACTGACTGATGAGACTGTCCGATTTGTTGATAATGGTTTCCAGGCACAAAAGGCTGCCAGGTAATATTAGGTTGCATGGCTTGCGTGAACTGCGGCTGCTGCGACTGCACAACTTGATATGCTTGCCGAAGCAATTTCAACTGTTGCAGCTGCTGTTGCCTAAACTGCGGCGGCTGCATACCCTGATGCGTGGCGGACGGCACATTGTTCGGTGGTGGTGGTGGTGGCGGCGGCATGGCATACGCTGAGTGGCCATGCGTGCTCTTGTATGCTTCCTGCTCTGTGAGTGCTTGGTTAGTGCTATTGCCTTGGCCTTGAGGATCACGATCCACGTAGGCTTGGTTATTCCAGCCACCTGATTCAACAGCGACTTGGTAAGCTTGGGGATCAGGAGCTGCAGGGAGGGCCAGACTCGGATCGCGGAGCGCCGGATCAATAAGACTCTGGGACACCGGGGATGCACGGAGGGTGAGACCCGGGTCGTGGAAGACTGGATCGGCAGTAACCTGGGGTGCAGTCGAGGCCGTTGCCGTGGTGTTGTTCCCACCAGCGTCGGGGACACCATTGTCTCCCGGCTGCACGTGTTGAATACCGTTCATGTTTTGATGAGCCTCCATGAACGACTCCTCAAGAAACGACGGCAGGCCGGGCTCGCCAAGCCCATCAAACTCCTGCCCGAGGCTTGGGTCGAATTCGCAGTCGTAGTCCTCGGCCATGGCAGAATAGAAAGGTTTTGAGCTGAGTGTCTTGGCTGGGATGAAAGAGCGTATCTAAGACGTTGAATCGCTGAGACAGGAGGAGCTTGAGTTTAAGTGGCAGCTCTGCTGGACTATTCCATAAGAAGGTAAAAGAATGTGTGTAGAGACTGAAAGGAAAGATCTCTGGGGCAATCCGGTTGTCCAGGGACTGTGTCTCCTTATATACGGCTCATATGTTCCCAGCAGTCTAGAACAAAGGATCGACACTTGTCAGGCGTAGAACAGCGTTATAGACAATGCCATGGATACATCGTCTTCGAAGGAGAAGAAAGTCATTGTGACGGGAACAAAGTCTGCCGGCGTAATTCTGGCCAGGAACCAAATGTTGATCCGAGGAACAAAACCGTACGCTGTTCGGGTCTCGAGTTCCCGGACTGCTTAAGATAAGCTTGAACAGACAAAGGAAACTAGTCGACCCGGAGTTAGAGTAGAACCTGGAGACAAGACGTTAGCACTCGTGTCTCAGACATTACAGAGTGCGAGTAATGTTGGGATGAGAGGAGGGCGAAATCAGTAGAGCTCAAAGCGTTGTCTCAACACAGAAGTTCAGAACAGGTCTGTGAAATGCGTTCATTTCATCATGCAACTGCGGGTACTTTTGAGAGAGTATAGGACCGAGAACCAACGTACCAGATGATGGTGGCATGCCAATCTGGAGGTTACCGGAGGGTTGAAGCGACTCAACTGACGGATCTAGTATCCCGTATCTCGCCGCACTACCCATGTGGTGATCAGATACCTGAACATTTTCTCAAACTTGATTTTGCCACGGGTCGTTCCCAAGATGAGGTTCTGGGCTACGTGAGGGTGGTGATGAGATACCCTGTGCAAAATTTGTCGCTATATGTCTTTTGTGGGCTCCATTTCCAGGTCCAAGTCCGCTTTGTTAGCACGCCGGATCGGGGTTTGGTGCGCCGAGTTCCGGACCTTGGTTTGGAAAGCTGGACAACACGTGCGCAGGATCAAGCGTCCAGGTACCTTTGTACGCCAGCGAAAACGCCTGTACGTTTAGGGGTCCTAGAGGTTGTTCATATACCTTATCCTACTTAGGTATTAGTATCGAGAAACCAAGTTTCATGGATCATACACCATGGTAGCATCCAGTGGTCTCATGAGTAAAAAGGGTGCTGTGGTTGCTAATATCTACCCCTGGAGGCTGCCCGGCTCCCCGGGCCAGCTGATTCGGCAACTCCGGCCCGGTAGGTACCGCTGAAACGGCCAGGGGTTGGGAGGGGTCACCACCCAAGAAGCGCTTTTGTTGCTCCCTGCCGAAAACCACCCACCACTACGTCACAAGGGTCGTCGCGACTCTCTCTCCCCCTCCACTTGCGAACGAGGGCACTCCGGCGCGCTCCTAATAAGCGACATACTTCTATGAGTACCCGCTTGTAGTCAGCCCGCCGAACTGTGTCGGGTCCAGTTGGGATCTGCACTTCCCCTTCGGTTCCGGACACGCCTTCGGACTTCTCTGGCAATCAGGTTGTCCGCTATCCAGTTGACCACCACAACAGCGCATCGCGCGACACCGGCCCGACGCCATGGCCGAACTCAGCCCAGAGTTGCAGGTGAAGCTCGAGGAGCTGGACAGGGAGCTTGAGGTGCGTCGAACTGCCTATCGTCTGGCTCGCCGGTTGAGCCCGCTACATTCTGACCCAACTTCCGCCTCATCCCTCCTCGGCTTCGTATTTTTGTCCCTTCACATTGCTTGGAACTTGCTGACCTGTCTGTTATCAATAGGAGGGCGACATCACTCAGAAAGGGTACGTGCCGTCTGGCCCACGCGCCTGGTTTTGAGTCCCCGAGAGTTCGCCAACATTCCACCACGCCGCGCCATTGCTGTCGTCGATAACAGTACATACTGACAATGCAATGTGCGTCTTTGAAGGTACCAGAAACGACGAACTCAGCTCCTGTCGCAATACGGGATTGGCAACATGCACGATTTGGAAATGGGAGGACTGCGCATCCATTCGCCCGACGACTCTTACCAGGGCCCGGGCCACGACCATCGGGCTGCCTCGCTCGCCGCCTTGAATGCTAATGATACCTCGGACTCACGGGGCTCAGGTTCCTTTGGCTCCCCAGCTGAATACCGACCCCAGTCCCCGCATGCCAACATCGAATCCCACCCTGCATCTTTGCTGGCCCCTGCCGGTCCGATGGCTGAACAGCGCCCCAACATGCGCCAGCACGACTCGCTGTTCCTCTCTACAGCTCCCTTACCAGATCCGTCGACGCGGTCGGGCACCATGGTGTCTGGGGACTACGCCTTCAACCCCGAGCAGCACCTTGGGTACGCCGATCAGCCACAGAACCCCTATGAAAGCAGGACTGGGACACTGCTGGATTCGCAGGCCTACTTTTCCGACTTCGCCGGCCAGTCCTACGACCCAGCAACTACCGGGGAGTATGGCGGCCCCCACAGATACTCCGCAAGCGATGCTTTTTCTCCAACGGCAGCAATGGCCCCCCCAATGCTCACCGCAAGCGACCTGCCGCCGCCAGACGTCCTCCAGTTCCAGATGCCGCTCGAGCCGCGCGAGGTGCCCTTTGCCATCCACGACCCGCACGACCAGACCATCGAAATGTCAAACTTTGACAACATAGCGGCAGTACTGAGGCACCGCGGCCGTACCACAGCCAAGCTTCCGGCCTACTGGGTGCTGGACAATAAGGGGAAAGAGATAGCGTCCATCACCTGGGACAAGTTGGCCATGAGGGCTGAGAAGGTAGCGCAGGTGATTCGTGATAAGAGCTCTCTATACCGTGGCGACCGGGTTGCGCTCATCTACCGAGATACAGAGATTATCGACTTCGCCATCGCCCTTCTGGGGTGCTTCATAGCCGGAGTGGTTGCAGTGCCTATCAACGAGCTCCAGGACTACCAGAAGCTGAATCTGATTTTAACCTCTACCCAAGCACATCTGGCTCTGACCACTGACAACAACCTCAAGACGTTCCAGCGCGACATTACTGCCCAGAAGCTGAATTGGCCCAAGGGTGTCGAGTGGTGGAAGACGAACGAGTTCGGCAGCTACCATCCCAAGCGCAAAGATGACGTTCCACCTTTGTCCGTCCCAGATCTGGCCTACATTGAGTTCTCCCGTGCTCCAACGGGCGACTTGCGAGGCGTTGTGCTCAGTCACCGGACCATCATGCACCAATTGGCCTGTCTCAGCGCCATCATCTCCACTGCCCCTGGGAATGGGCCCGCGGACACGTTCAACAGGAACCTGCGTGACAAGAATGGCCGTCTGATTGGTGGTGGCGCGAGCAGTGAGATCCTGCTGTCTTATCTGGATGCCCGTCAGGGCATTGGCATGATCCTCGGCGTTCTCCTGACCGTGTATGGCGGGCACACCACTGTCTGGTTGGAGAACAAGGCTGTAGAGGTTCCTGGCCTCTATGCCCACCTAATTACCAAGTACAAGCCTACCGTCATGATTGCCGATTACCCCGGCCTGAAGCGAGCAGCATACAACTACCAAGCCGACCCAATGGCAACGAGGAACTTCAAAAAGGGCATGGAGCCCAACTTCCAAACCGTCAAGCTCTGCCTGATCGATACGCTCACTGTCGACAGCGAGTTCAACGAACTTCTCGCCGACCGTTGGTTTCGCCCTCTCCGCAACACGCGCGCGAGGGAGGTGGTCGCCCCTATGCTCTGTCTTCCTGAGCATGGCGGCATGTTGATTAGTGTTCGTGACTGGCTTGGTGGCGAGGAGCGCATGGGCTGCGCCCTCAAACTTGACCTTGGCTCGGACAGCGACCCAGAAGAGGAAAAGGAGAAGGAGGAAGAGAAAACGGCGCCGTCAAACGGATTCTCAACCCTACTTGGACAGGGTTCAACAGCAACCAAGGAGGAGCGTGCTAAAACAGAGTTAAGCGAGGTCCTTCTCGACAGGGAAGCTCTCAAGACGAATGAGGTGCTGGTCGTCGCCATCGGAGAAGAGGTCAGTAAGCGAGCGTCGAGCGAGCCCGGAACTATCCGTATTGGTGCCTTTGGTTACCCGATTCCCGACGCGACACTCGCTATCGTTGATCCGGAAACCGGCCTTCTCTCCTCGCCCAACATGGTCGGCGAGATCTGGGTCGATTCTCCTTCTTTATCCGGGGGCTTCTGGGCCTTGCCGAAACACACAGAGCAAATTTTCCATGCTCGGCCTTACAAGTTTGAGCCGGGTGACCCGACCCCCACGCCGGTAGAGCCAGAGTTCCTGAGGACCGGTCTTTTGGGCACCATAATCGAAGGCAAGATCTTTGTCCTGGGTTTGTACGAAGATCGCATCCGGCAAAAGGTAGAATGGGTTGAGGATGGTGGCCCCGAGAACGCCGAGCATCGCTATTTCTTCGTTCAGCACATTGTGGTCAGTATCATGAAGAACGTGCCCAAGATTTTCGACTGTTCAGCGTTCGACGTCTTCGTCAACGAGGAGCACCTCCCCGTTGTGGTACTCGAATCTCAAGCGGCGTCCACAGCCCCCACCACCAACGGGGGCCCGCCTCGGCAACTGGACACAGCGCTTCTCGACTCCCTCGCCGAGCGGTGCATGGACGTGCTAATGCAAGAGCATAACCTCCGCGTTTATTGCGTCATGATCACGGCGCCTAACGCCCTTCCTAGGGTGCTCAAGAACGGTCGCCGGGAGATCGGCAACATGCTCTGCAGGAGGGAGTTTGATCTGGGCAACCTCCCTTGTGTCCACGTCAAGTTCGCGGTCGAACACGCTGTTCTCAACCTACCTGTGGGCATTGACCCGGTCGGCGGCATCTGGTCACCGGTGGCGTCCGATGCCCGAGAACAGCTCCTTGCTCAAGCGGACAAGCAGTATTCGGGCATCGATCGTAGAGAGGTGGTCATCGACGACAGGACATCCACACCTCTCAACAACTTCTCCAGTATCACGGACCTCATTCAGTGGCGCGTGGCGAGACAGCCTGAAGAACTGTCGTTCTGCACGATTGACGGCCGAGGGAAGGAGGGCAAGGGTGTTACTTGGAAGAAGTTCGACATGAAGGTCGCTGCCGTGGCCGTCTATCTGAAGAACAAAGTCAAGCTACGAGCCGGCGACCATGCCGTTCTCATGTACACCCATTCTGAGGACTTCGTCTTTGCGGTTCACGCCTGCATCAACCTCGGCGTTGTCGTCATCCCCATCCCGCCAATGGACCAGAACCGCTTGTCGGAGGATGTCCCGGCTTTTCTGCACCTAGTGTCGGATTACCGGGTGAGGGCCGTGCTAGTGAACGTGGATGTGGACCACCTCCTGAGGATGAAGCCAGTCGCTCAGCACATCAAGCAAACGGCGCAGGTGCTCAAAGTCTCGGTCCCCAATATTTACAACACAAGCAAACCGCCAAAGCAGAATAGCGGCTTGCGGGATCTCGGTATCACAATGGACCCGGCTTGGATCCAGCCGGGCTACCCGGTTGTCATCTGGACCTACTGGACCCCGGACCAGCGGCGACTCGCTGTCCAGCTTGGCCACGACACGATCCTGGGCATGTGCAAGGTACAGAAGGAGACGTGCCAGATGACCAGCTCGCGACCGGTGTTGGGATGCGTGAGGAGCACAACTGGTCTCGGCTTCATCCACACTTGCCTGATGGGCATCTACATCGGGACACCTACCTACCTCCTATCGCCTGTCGAATTTGCCCAGAACCCCGCCTCACTCTTTCTGATCCTGTCCCGGTATAAGATCAAGGACACGTACGCGACCCCTCAAATGCTGGACCACGCCATGAACATGATGCCCGGCAAGGGGTTCACGCTGCATGAGCTCAAGAACATGATGATCTCGGCCGACGGCCGGCCCCGCGTCGATATCTTCCAAAAGGTCCGCATGCACTTTGCCGCGACAGGCCTCGACCGCACCGCCATCAACACGGTCTACTCGCACGTGCTCAACCCTATGATTGCTTCACGATCGTACATGTGCATCGAGCCCATCGAGCTGTGGCTGGATCCCAAGGCCCTGCGCCGCGGTCTCGTATACGTGACGGACCAGGAGCGGGACCCCAAGGCGCTGCTTGTTCAGGATTCGGGAATGGTGCCCGTGTCGACGCAGATTGCCATTGTCAATCCTGAGACGCGGGGGCTGTGTAGCGAGGGCGAGTACGGCGAGATTTGGGTCGACTCAGAGGCGTGCGTCAAGGGTTTCTACGGGTCTAAGGATCCTTTTGATGCCGAGCGGTTTGATGGCCGGACCCTCGAGGACCCGAGCATTCGATATGTGCGTACCGGCGATCTCGGGTTCCTCCATAGCGTGCGTCGGCCGATCGGGCCGGGCGGCGCGCTGGTTGATATGCAGGTGCTGTTTGTGCTGGGCAACATTGGCGAGACCTTTGAGATCAATGGTCTGAGCTATTTCCCCATGGATATTGAGGCCTCGGTCGAGCGGTGCCACCGCAACATCGTGCCTGGTGGTTGGTAAGTTTGACTCGAATGATTGTGTTGCCATTCGTCGCTCTGACTTCTTGGCCTCTAGCGCTGTCTTCCAAGCCGGCGGTCTCGTCGTCGTCCTCGTCGAAGTAGCCCGCAAAGCTTACATTGCCTCCATCGTTCCCGTCATCGTCAACGCCATCCTCAACGAGCACCAAATCGTTGTCGACATTGTCGCCTTCGTCAACAAGGGAGACTTCCCGCGCAGTCGGCTCGGCGAGAAGCAGCGCGGCAAGATCCTCGCGGGATGGGTCAGCCGTAAGATGCGCACAATAGCGCAGTTTGCCATCAAAGACAACGACCGAGAAGCCCTCGGCCCGCCGGGAACTTCTTCAGGCGAGCAATCCTCCGGCGGGCACGGCGCCGCGGTTGCCGCCGACGAGCAGCACCGCGCCAGCTTGGGCTCTTTCCGCAGCTCCAGCGGTGGTCCCGTGCCGGCCGGCCACGGAGGCGCGAACAGCTCGCTGCGAAACGTCGAGCCCGCCCCGCGGATCCCGGAACAGCGCGAGCCGGAACACAGCCAGCAGCAGTACGCTTACCACCAAGGCGGTTATGATGGCATGGCAGCCGGTAATATAGACATGGCCCCTGCACGAACCCCGCTGGCGGAAATGCCTGCGGATGACAGGGAGGTAGATAATGACCAGACTCCGACGAAAAACTCCACACAACAACAGCAGCAACAACCGCGCATAGTGAGCGGACTGGGCGAGCCCACGCTGCCGCACGGCTTTGAGTTACCTGACTTTGACCAGTTCGGCCGCGACGAGCATGATGCGCCGCCGCCGGCTGTGGGTCCTAAGCCGGGTACTGGGATCGGCGGTGCCATGTCGTCGCAGACGGCCACGCATCCTCCGCAGCAGCAGCCGCCGCCGCAGATTAGACTGCCTGGCGTTGATGGAAGGGAGTCGTTCGATGATTGGGGCTTGAGGCCTGGGAGTGGTGGTGGAAAGGAGGAGGATGGGGAAGATGATTGGACGAGGGATGCTTATATGTCGATGAATCTTGCCGGGGCGCTTGGGGGGAAATGAGCGGTTTGGGTAGAGCATTTGTTGGTGTACTTCGAGGAAGAGGTTTGCACCTTTCTTTGTAGACATGGACTTTTGGGATGAGAATTGGCGGGTCATTTTGAAAGGGCTATGTCTGTTTGGGTAAGGATAATGAGTGATGGATTTTTGTTAGACATGTTGCGAGATGAGAGCTCATGAAGCATGTAGGTAAAAGAGTATGTCTTCTAATACGGCCATGGGGTCAAATTGTGAACTTCAGACCCTGGTCGTTATCAACAGCTTCCTTTTCCCCTGAAGTTCGATATCCCCTTGACACCCCGCTGGAAGCGTTCGCTCATCGACATCGATTGATCAACCTGCAGCCAAGCACCACGCACATCGGCACCAACAGAAGGCAACAACGATCTATGCGAGATAGTGGTGTACCGGCCTATTTGTTCTGCTCTGCAGACATGGCAAAGCAGCGGCATAGCACAGCTGTATCCGGATCCGTAACTCGTTAGCTACGATCGTCTCGTCGCAGCGCTTGCCGCCTAGCACAAAATGCAGCCGCGTAAGCGCGATGATGGGGCGGGATTGACGAACCAGGGGAGGACACTTGTGTCATTCGCAGTTAAACTAGCCTGTCAAGGAAGTCGATGCTGCTGAGGTACCTTTACGTAGAAGGATGCTGGCTGATTTGGGGGTTGATCAAGTTCGATGTAACGCTGCCGCCCCCTCCTTCCAGCACCCCTCTCGCACTCATCAGCGCGGCAAGTTGCATTCGCCAGCATGTTCAGATCTTGCAGGTTGCTCTTCTGAGCGCCGGAAACGGTGCATGCGCTCGGGTTCAGCTCGGCGACTGTGCCGCGGAAAGGCGTGGGATTGCACTCATAAGGAAGGAGCACTGAGGATCATGCAGGCAGCTGCACCCCGATCTCCCGCTGCGGTTCTTTGGGGGTTGAATCGTTTGCTTCCGTCGTTGTTTCTTACTTCACTGCATGTTTCTCGGTCTTTGCGCTCAAGCATTCAGTTTGTCATTCCCCGGTAGCCAGAAGTCCCAGCCCGCCCCCCATCCAGCATACCGGTCGACGCCTGTTGATTTTTGGACGAAACTCCCAGTTAATGGATTGAATGCGCTCTCATACACACTGAACCATGGCACCGTGCCTGGGCTCCGCAATTGCAACCGTCGCCGGTGGCCGCGTATAGGTAGATCGGAACATGGATTTTCTTCCACACCCCACCTCCGGCGTTGAGCCCCTCGATATACCCTTCGTCGCCGACACGCCCTACGTCTTTGGCACCGATTTCTGGGACTTCCCCAAGTTACACGGCTTTGGCGACCAATGGGCCAGTCTGCCCTCTCCCCGCTTGGCTTCCCTAGCTCAGTCATGGCTGTACTTTGGCACCATCTCCGAGTTTCTGGGTAGGCCCATTGACTATCGCGAATTTCAGGTCTCGCGGAGCGTCTCCGCAAAGCCCCTGCTCCCTCTGCTCAATGAGTGGCTCGCCGCCCATGCCATCACAGCCCAGGGCTCGACGGCTCGAGATGCACCCGAGACGGAGGACCAAAAGCAGGTGTTTTACGAGCACGCCAGGTTCCTCGACGCCGTCAGCCAGCTGGCCGAGGATTTTGACAAGGTGTCACAGAGCCATGTGAAGCCCACCCCGACCATCATCTTGTCTGTCAAGGTGCTCTGCATTACATTGAGGAGCGTGCTGTGGGATCTAGCTCGCGGCGACCTGGACGAGTCTCTCCGCCCGTGGCCGTCACCTGTCACCCGCCTGTGCCGCGAATTCGTGCCGGCGAGAGACACCCCCGGCAAGCAGACGCTCCCTCCCAGTGCGCAGTTGCTGTTAGATGTGCTGCGCTTGCGCGGTTGGTGCCCGTTTTACGCGCGCAAGGCCCTCACTTCTTACAACTACGCGCTCGCCTATTACTTCACTCGGCTCTTTCGAACCTACTCCCCCGGTCTGAGTCACCAGAGTTGCTCAGATGATGAGTGCGTCGCCAGCAATGCCGACATCTTCACTTACGTCCCGAAGCACGCCCGCCGGGGCTGTCTATGCCAGCCCAAGTCAGCCCCGATGGATCAAATCCGTGCTATCATCGAGGACGGCGGCGTCCCCCTGATTCGGCTGAGGGGTTCTTCCAACTCGGGAGTCAGGATGGAAGTCACCAGGATGACTGCTTGGACCCGTTTCGTCGTAGTGTCCCACGTATGGTCCGAAGGGATCGGCAATGCAAACACCAACGCGCTACCCGAATGCCAGCTTCGGCGCCTCCATGCGCACATGAGCGAACTGAAGCCGTTGAGACGGACCGGCGACCGGGATGCTGACTTTAACCTTCTGAGCTCCCTTGATACGGGTTTCCAGTCGACAAGGGTGCGACGGCCGAGGTATCTCTGGATTGACGCTCTATGCATGCCTCCTGGGGGGCCAACTGCGTTCTTGAGACTCCGTGCCATCAACAAACTGCCCGCCGTCTACCAAGCAGCTGATCGAATCTTGGCGTTGGACTCGACGATGGAGCGGACATCAGTAGTGGATTCGGATAGTCTCGAACAATTTGCGAGGTTTGCTGTGAGCCCTTGGGTGGGGAGATCCTGGACATTTCAGGAGGCGGCGCTGGCCTCTGCGTGCGAGGTGCAGTGTTCTGATGGCACTTTTGACGCCTTTTCACCGCAACCAAAGCAGAGGCTGGCCGCAGACACTGCAACTGCTAGGCGGAAACGACTCGCCTGGCTAGAGGCGCTCACTCGCCCTGCGGACTGGGCTGGGAGGATGCTCTCTCAAAAACCGCGAACGGAGATGATGCAGTTAGCGCACGGCAGTTCCCCAATGGGTGTCGACATTAGCGCGTCGATGGTCAAGAGCCTGACGCGGTCTCTCAGCGAAGAGTTTCGGTCGGCGTTTGCGAACGGAGTCAAGCCCAGCAGGGCTGCCCTTGGCAAAGGGAGACTGGCGCCCGACTTTTGCACGCTTTTTGTTCAGATTTGGAATGAACTGAGCAGGAGAGCGACGACGGTCCCAGGCGACATGCACATCATCATGGCCAACCTTCTTGGCTTCCATTCGGGGCCACTTATGCGACTCTCCAAGTCAGCAGAGCGCATGTCATGCATCTTGCGGAGCATGGACGGCATCCCCGTCTCCTTACTATTCAACCTGGATGGGCCAAGGCATAACCCATCGAGGAACCATCGTGACCGCTGGTTGCCCCTCTATCCCTCGAGGCAGAAACTGACGTTTGGCTCGACGTTCACAAATCTCCGATCCATCAAAGACGATCTGTATTTACCTAACAATACCGTCAGCCGAAGGAAAATCGCCGTTTTCGTGTGTACTGGCGAGGTCGACCCCTTTTCGAGCTGCACATTCACATTATGGGATGTCTCCTCAGCAGAGCGGTATTCTGTTGTCATCCACCGGCAAGAGGGGGAGATGGATGAATTCGCGACACCGGACATCGGTCCCTACTGCATCGCCATTCAGCTGGAATCAGAACTCGGCCGGGTATCGGACGGTCATATCGACGGTTTGGCCGCCGCCCCCAAGACCTTTGCCGGAGCACTGTTTCGCGTCCGGCGAGTCGTCTCCAACGTCAGAAAGCTTTATCATCACAACCTGGAATCGGGCTACGAGAACTCGTTCGAGTTGGTCGAAGACGAGACATATGGCACAACCGACCTAGAGACAGCGAGCAAGCGAACAACAAGTTATCTGGACGGTAACCTCGCGTCCGCCTTTGTGAACCACCACCGAGCAATCCTACGCACCGTATACGACTGTCCCCTGACAGTATCCTGCGTCACCGGCAAAGGCGACTCCCTACAATCCCCCTCAAAATACAGCCCAACCCTTACCGCCCAACCACTCCCTGAAACCTGGCAACTGGTCATCGAACGAGGTCAGTATCCCTCCCATCCTGGGCCCCCTCCCCCGCCCCTACCTCGTTCTAAAACACGAACAGAGCCAGCAACCTACCTCTTCCCCCTCCCTACCCGAACCCCCTTCGCCGAAGCAATCACGCCTGTATCAGCTTACCTAGCCATCACCGCCCTTGACGGGCTCGTCGCGTCGGGGTGTGTCGGCCTGGCGATTGCGCTGTGCGCAACGATGTTGTCTCGTCTCACACTCCTCGCGAAAGCCGCTGTCGTTGCCAAGTTGGGGCTGCACTCGGTGTTTCTGGTGCAAATGTTCTTATTTCCCGGGGTGGAGGTGAGACTGGTCTGGGATGTGCTGCACCTGGCACTGGTATCGCTGTATACCTTCTCCCGGGTCGCCATGGCTGGGGTCGGGCGGATGGATGTGCTCGACTGGTCGTTTATTGCGTGGGCTTTTTTGGGGCATGCGGTGGATTTTGTCGGGAGGTTAGGGATCCAGTGGGTTGTGGTGCCGAGGCTCTTTGAGAGGTATCTGGGGAGCTTCGATGGGGATGCTTCTAAGGAAAACGACATGAGGGACGGGGTCGGTGGGATGAAGCGGAGTGGTAAGGGGTGGTGGTGGCATCGGGCCTGGTTGAGACTCGGTTGGTCGTTTGGGTTGAGACGGCAGAAGGGGTATTGGTATCATCAGGGACACGGTCGAGAGCAGCATTTGAAGTACGGTAGGGAAGCGGTGCTTGTGAATGGACATGCGGAACAGCATTTACTGGAGGATATGGAGCGACAGATGTAGCTGTGCTGCAGACTTCTATTAATGAGAAATCGATAGCATTGTCGGTTGAGGATACCCAGGGTTGGATGGCTTTGTATCATGGACGGATAGGGGGTTTTGGCTCAGGAGTATTTATTTAGTGTCCTGTGCTTACTGTTCCCTGTATAGTGGTTATCTATCGAGGAGAAGATAGTGACGCTTGTGAGAGACAGGTGGCATCAAGGCGAGGCACTGGGCACTGCAAATGCCGACTCAATTCTGCTAATCGAAAGCTAAGGAAAGGAAGAGGAGAATATACAGGATACGGGTCTGCGACGCGTGAAGAATAAGTGGGCGTACAGGCCACCTACCGATGACCCACTGAAGAGAGCATGAGTCCAGGGTGCGCTTTCCGTCATACTATGGCTGACCCCTAATAGGCGTAGGTGTTGGAAAGCCAACAGCCACGAATGTGCCGCACCGTAGTAATTGGGTATCAAAAGGATGGGCAACCACTCAATTGATGATGATGTTCCTGTCTGTGTTCTTCCAGAAGTTCCCTGCCTGTTCCTGATCCTGAGAATCCTGGTGCCAAGCCATTAGTCACCCCTGAATTGCCCTCTCTGACCACCTGCCAAATCCAACAGTAGGCCTATAGAAGCTTGAAGCCCTGTAGGCTAAGGCACTGCAAATACACTTAGTATAGACTTCTCGGGCCTTGGCTAGAGCTAGGCCCTAAGTCTTAACAGCTATTCTAGATAGTGCAAAGTCCTGTGTTATTAGTTTTCGTTCGATAGCTTCTCGATACGCCCACCAATCTAGTCTTTAACCTAGCCAGACCCTAAGAAATCAGCTCGAGGGTATAGGCTGTATAGTATCGAAGCCTGGGCTCTTGTCACGAGTGGGCGCAACTGATCACTGCGTAACACCCTCAAAAGAGGGACCGTGGTTCGAACTGTCCAGTCGAACCAGGAGTTGCGCACATGAACCTCACACTGTCACTACCCGTGACAGCTCTATAGATGAGCCGGGTTAACTAGATTTGGCCACTGCCTTCGGCCTTAATTGAAGTGAACCAGCTCGCTCTTTTTTCTAGCAAAGACCATCTCTCTAGACTTAGCTCACTGCATACAGGTCTTCTAGGCCTCTTCTAGTGGCTAGCAGTTGGCCTAGGGCCCTCAGCTAAAGGCTAGGAGGTTGATATCGTCTATAAAGCTCACTGTGAGAGACAAGTAGCATCAAGACGAGGCACTGGGCGCTGCAAATACCGACTTAATTCTGCTAATCGAAAGCTAAGGAAAGGGAGAGGGAGAGTATACAGAATACGCGTCTACGACGCGAGAAAGATGAGTGGGCGCATAGGTCACCCACCGATGACCTACCGATGAGAGTATGAGTCCAGCGTGCGCTTTTCATCACAACCTCCCCCCTCTAAAAAACCTCGCCTTGAGCTTTAGTAGCCAAGGATATCGTTGGCCTACAGTCCTACTTCTTACGCAGCGAGCGCCGTAACCATTGGCCCTGTGAGGAAAGGTGGCCGGTGCGCCCAGTTGGCTTCTTGCGCCGTAGACGCGTATCCTGTATCTTCTCCTTCTTTCTTTCCTCAGCTTTCGATTAGCAGATTTGAGTAGTATTTGCAGCGCCATGTCACGGCCCCCACACGCTGGGCCCCACCCGTGGGTCCTGGCAGGCACGGCGCAATTGCCGTGACAGGTTGATTATTACTAGAGGATTATCGAACCTATAGCGATTAGAGGATAACTTATTGAAGTCTATAACTAGGTACTGCTACGCCCATTATAGTGAGAGAATTGGCTGTAGTAGCCTAGAGGTGTTATCGTATAGGTACTTTGAGGATCGGCATCATATATAGATATCGATAAAGATAGCGATATCGCTATTTATTCTCAGCTACTAGTAGCGGGCGGTTACTAGCTCTCTTATCTTCTTATACCCTAGATGCGCCATGACCAGTTAAGAGTGTACCTCCTAGATAACCCAGGTCTATAGGTACCTAATCACTAACAGCACTAGTCTGCTACTATATAGGAAGAGTCAGTTGTCTAAAAGGGTGAACTTAGGGTTTTCTTTACGCATATACCTACGCCATTCCTCCAACTTAGGTGCTATTCGGTTAGCTTTCAGGAGCTCGTCCACTAGCTGAAAACTAGAGCTCGGAGGAGTGGCAATACCTTCGTTGAGGGCTATGATCATTATAGCTGTCGGGTCTTGTTTGGCCTAGTCTTCGACTCATACTAGGGTAAAGACCTATATTGTATAGTATGCTTGATGCAGGAGGCACCAGAGGGATGGCATGGTATGGGTGTAACTGAATTGTTGGAAAGAAGAATGAAGAATCAGACAGAGAAGTCGGTGTCGCGCGTCCTACATGCAAAATAAACTGGCATGGAGGTGCTGAGCGCGCACAGACCTTTGCAGCGGGGCTACTCTACATGGTGCCTTCCGGTATCAATGCTTCTCGTTTTACTTTCTACGTGATAGCGTCTTCTAGTTTCTAGGAGAGAGCATTAGCCCTAGTGTCACGAATATGGCCGTATGCAGAAATCTGGTGGGGGCGCGAGGAAAGCGTCCCGAGCCATTCTGTTGGATTTGGCAGGTGGTCAGAGAGGGCAGTTCAGGGGTGACCAATGGCTTGGCACCAGGATTCTCAGGATCAGGAACAGGCAGGGAACTTCTGGAAGAACACAGACAGGTACATCATCATCAATTGAGTGGTTGCCCATCTTTTTGATACCCAAATACTACGGTGCGGCACATTCGTGGCTGTTGGCTTTCCAACAATACACCTCCTTCTCCCATTGTCTTTAGGGAGCGGAGACAGGACTTCGCGCTCCCTTCGTGATTGGCTATACCCATGTCCTAAATGATTAGCTCGGGACGCTCCCTTCGCGCCCCCCCGAGTCTGCATGCGGCCATATCCGTGACATACCACTTGCTGATATCTATGACTCGCTAATAATATATGTTATTTTATGCTCTTAACAGCTATAATAGGGCACAGCCTTATAAACTAATAGTATATAGGTCCTATCTAGCAAGTATTATAGCGTCTAGATCTTTTATACCTACTCTCTATAGGAGAGTAGGCCATTTTAACGAAGTAGGGCAACTAGCACCTACGGGTATGCTGAACTCTTCCTGTCCGTTTTGTGTGCTGTGCTCCGCCAGAAATGCCATGCAATGCCCGTCCGGTTAAGTGACGGGGTAATGACCAACACAAACATCGTTTCAAAGAATCAACGACGACAGAGATTGAGAAAACGCAAAGACTTGAAAATGACACGACGCCAACAAAAACATCGGAAAACATGAACAATGAATATCTCAAGCCACAGCCTCCTCCATCCTTTCCTCCATTTCCATCATTCATCGCCCATTCATTGCCCTTTTTCGTGAGAATGGTAAATGCCGAATGGTATCATGCGCACCACATTCAACCTGAAATCTGACAAACTGAACCTGTCATCCATCTTGTTATCCCAGCATCTCCACGTTTCAGTCACGCAATTCAAGACTTGCAAGCCTTCGCTTGAGCCTCAGGCTGCCAAGAATTGTCATTGCCCACAACCATTGGTTCTCAAGCACGGAGTCCCAGGAGCTCTCTCCATTCCGCTTGTGCGGCCCGTCCCTCCTCCACCACTTCCGTCCTCTGTTCTCAGACTGCATGGAGGGATACTCCCCTCAAGAAGTCCACCCCAGCGTATCCAACAACGTCTTGGACTCCATGCCACTGAAGCCAGCAATGCTGAGCGCCCTGACCTGGCTGCTGCCCCTGAGGGCGGCCAACCCGCCCGCAATCTTCCACGCCTCCTCCTCGCCGACAACAAACAGATACCTCTTGCCCTCCTGATCTCTAATCGTGGCCCGGATCAAATGCAGCCCCTTCCCTTTCTCCTCCCCACTACCACCAGCCGCAGACGACCCTTTACTCCTACGACAGTTCCCATCGCAAACCCTCCCAAACTCGTCAATCCACGCCACCGCCTCCTCACCGAGCATCGTCTTGGTGGCCCCCCGCTCAGCCGCCCGCCGCGCGCTCTGCGGCATGGTCTTGAAGAACGGGTGGTTCGTCGGTACGCTGCCGGGCGTGTTGCCCGCCTGGCCCTGGACGGCGTGGACAGGGCACCAGACCTCGACGAGCTTGAGGGTCCAGGCCTTGATGTCCCACTCGCGCTGGGCGACGCCGCGCACGTCGTCATCCACAAAAAGGCCCGCTGACGTGATGCGCAGGATGAGCCCGTCCGTGACCGGGCCGACGCCCGAGATGAGCTGGGAGGCGGGCGTCTTGGAGAATTGGTTGAGGTAACCGTAGACGGCCTTGATGATGATCTTTTGCGGGTCGTTGGTGGTGTAGGGCCCGCGCGTGGACGGGGGTGGCGTGGTGCGAGCTGTCGAGGCGGACGGGGCCCACGAGGATTCGGAAAAATCCGAGACCGACTTCTTACGTGCAGTTGGTTTTTTGGGCTTGTCGTACGGTCGGTAGGAGTAGGTGTCTTCAGTTCCAGTGGCCGAAGTTGTAGATTTAGTGGGCGATGGAGCGGGCCTGGTGGGGGAGGGAGCGGGTTTGGACGGGGATGGAGGTGTTGGTGATGGTGTCGGCCTGGGTGGTGGTGGAGTGGATGCAGCTTGGGACGGGGCGACGCTTGGCGGTTTGCCGTTCGGCCACATACTCGTCTTTTCGCCAACCGACGAGTAGGCGTAGGTCGCCCTATTACGCTCCTGCGTCTCCTTGGCTTCCCGCTCCTTTTTCTCTCTCTCTTCTTGTTCCTTGCGGAGCCGAGCCAGGCGCTCTTCACGCTCCTTCCGCTCCCGTTCCCTGGCAGCCTGTCGCTCCTTTTCGGCTCGTTGCCGTTCTTCTTCCCGCTTTCGAGCCTCTTCCTTTTCCTTGGCTTCGCGCTCCCTAGCCTCCCGCTCCCTTGCCTCTCGTTCTTTGGCCTCCCTCTCAACCTTTTCACGCAGCTCCTTCTCGATCTTCTCCCGTACTTCCCGTTCGAGACGCTCTCGTTCCCTCGCTTCCTGCTCTTTGCGCAGCTTCTCCTTCAGCTCGCGTTCCCGGGCTTCGCTCTCCCGCTTCTCGCGCTCCCTGGCCTCCCGCTCACGCAGCTCGCGTAGTCGGCGGGCCGTGTCTTCCTTCCTCTTGGCTTCGGCTTCTTTGGCCTTCCGCTCTTCCTCTCTTCTTCTCATTTCCTCTCTTGCCTTTTCCCAGGCGCCCTTTGGGGCTTCTGACTTTGCCGATGCCGGTCGAGGGGGCGGCGCTTGTGGTTGCGGCTTCGGCTCTGGAGGGGGGCCCGCCTTCGGTTTGGGCTCCTCCTTTGGTTCCTCCCGCTTTGGCTCTGGAGGTGCTGGCTTGGGCTCTGGTTGGGGCTGGCCCTGTGGTGGGGGTTGAGGCGGAGGGGGAGCTTGAGCCTGAGGTTGGGGTTGGGGTTGGGGACGGGGCTGGGCCTGGGGCTGCGGCTCTGGCTGTGACTGCTGCCTTGGCTGCTCCTGCCAGGACTGATAGGGTCCTGCGCCGTCGCCCGGGTTTTCTGGCTGAGGTGGGGGTGGTGGAGGTGGAGTAGGCGGTGGCTGGTTTGGCGGAGGGCCATGCTGAGGCGGTGGAGTATACCATGACGACCGTCTCCCTCCATACCCCCCGCCAGGCTTCTGGTGGCCCCCAAACCTACCACCATCCCCATTCTGCCGCCCAGTGGGCTCATTTCGATGTCGACCCAACAAAAAAGCGGCAATGCCAACACATGCCACCATGGTCACCCATAGGAAAGACCACATCCTGTCTGGGCTACTGAACATGCTCATCACCACCGGGCTGGCGAGGTTCGTCATGATGACAACAGCTAGGGTGCTGACAACGCCTGCAATGAAGCTGTTCCATTGCGGTTTGAGCGAGGGGAGGTAGAGGAAGCCCGAGCCGGCCGAATGTTCAGGTATGATGAAGACGTCGTACTTCCCAGGCGGGAGACCGGAGCCACCGGCCGTTGTCCTGGGGTTTTCCCCATGCGGGGGCGGAGGAGGCGGTGGCTGGCTCATCTTGTGTGAGCGGCCAGCCGGCCTAGGAAAAGGTCAGTCGGCCTTTCCAGAGGATGGAGCGTTGAGTCGCGCGGCGCCGGGAACGGTATTAGGTTGCTGACGGCAAATCGAAGAAGAATTGAACTCTCGTGGTATCTCTGAAACGTCATAAGGATCGTAAAGCCATGACAAACTGGGAGTATGGGGTTTGTTAGCTTCGATGCCGCGATAGCATGATGGAAAAGTCCATGGGAGAGCGACTCACCAGACAAGAAAATGCAAGACACCCAACGCCGGACGCACACAAGCAAAGCCGCAAACGCAGACCACAACTGCGCTCAGTTGCAAGCGGGCCGAATAGCAGAGGCCTCGTCAGATCTCCAAAGAGTGTTCGTCGTTCCCACCCCCGCACTTATTACGATTGGTACCAGTGTCGCTGTCGCTGGAGTCGAGTGTCGTGCATCGAGTATCTTGGAACCGGAAAAGCGACTTGAAATCTTGAAATCACAACAGGGTGGAAACTTTTTTCACGGTCGGGTTGCAGGTTTGCGCAAGCGATGGTGGCCTCTGGGCGCTGCTCTGTTTACTTTTAGTTTTGGTAGCTTATGGAAGTAGAATTGGTGTGGCGCACGGTCCATTTGCAGCCCAACCGTCCCAACAAGGTGACGACGAGGCACATAGCCGTTCCTCCCGCGCATCCCGCACCTTACCGGGCCCTCCCGCTTCATTCCATGTTCCTGCCCAGTTTGAGTATGCGCCAGATCACTACGAATGTCATTTGTCCTGTGTCGAAGTCTCGCTGAGCCAACACTGTTTTGTCTCCGCAATGCTTACGGATGGTCCAGAATCCATGGTCGACTTCAGAAGGGAGGCCCGGCTGGACTCAGATGAGGCAAGGAAGTCCCATGCTACCTCCTCGGGTAGCCGACGGACCCTGAACACCATGGAACCGCTTTCATCAACCCAACAGTTGCCCTCCATTGGACACTGCCATGGCGACGGCCGGATCCTCAACTTCCCCTCTTTTCTCCCCGCGGATCCGTCGTCTCAACACGCGTCACCAAGGGGCAAACAACGAATGGGCAAGCACTCTCCGTACAACAAAGAAAGCGCAAAAGACGCTGGCCAACCTCCTCAACGTGGAGGGGGGCTTGTGGTGTATCCAATCCGATGGATTTCTGCAGGCTGACCACTTTGACAGGCTATGACGCCCCCACTTGTGCGGCGAATCGCGAAGCCAGGGAACAGGACCCTGAATGGTCCAGCGAATTCGCAAATTCGCGGCTTCGGTCCCGCCTGGCACAGTGTGGGAAACGGGGGAACAAAGTCCCCGACCACCCAGCCTCCTTTCCTTTCGCATTCAAGTTTGTCAACCGGTCCGCCTTGCTTTTAGACTTGATGATCTGTGCATCTTGAGGCATTGAGTATCTCATCTTAGGTGAAGGACAAGTGGCGACTTTGTGCCGATTTCACGCAGCCAGAAGCGACAAGCAAAACGTCTCAATCGCATGGCGTTTGCTGTCTACACTAACTCAACTTGGCGTTGCCGAGCAACACCCAGTGCATGTGTGCATGTGGTCCCATCGTGGGGTGACGTCGCAAAGCCGCCAGCACATCACATCGCCAGCCACTTCCTATGAGGGGTACATCTGGTGCTTGGCTCTATAGCCACATCCACGGGATGTTGTCAAACATGATTTTGTACGTCCGTACGGATTGTATGGATACAACCTAATGATAGCTCATTGCCATACGGATCTGTGTCTTTTATGCCCATACCTGTACTCAACTGAGTCATGTATCCCCCTCATTGCTGAAATGCTAGCGAGGGTAAATGCCAACAGTGATTTGGCGCCCTTGTGCCAGATGCCCAGAACAGAGGGAGAACCGCGGCATATGAAGCCAGAGTCCTCTCATGATAGGTACCTTAGATATTCTGTAGAACTCGACCATGTTCCGACATGTCCGCCGATAATTCTGTCAGCGAGTGGGCCCGTTTTAGGTATGTCAGTCAGTATCCATCCTGGCTCTTGGGTTCGTAGTATACGGTATCACATAAGTCTCCTTGTATACTCCGATACTATGAGGTTCCAGAGCAGTGGGGAGACCTATGGCACATTCCTAGGTACTGAGTAGTAACACCGCGAAGGGGGCCTAGGGAGCAGGAATCTCTGGCGACGCTAGATGTATACATTCAAGATAATGATAGAAATCGAATAACCACTGTGCCAGTAAACCTGTTGCAAACACATGCTGGATATGATCTACCGCTCCATTGCCGTGCCTTCTTGTAACCCCAATGATCCCAGAGAGCAACCCTCAACGAGCGGGCTGAGCCATGAGCATTCCCAGCTCGACAGCTCAAGCCAGTGCCTCAGATACCCTGACCAGAACCCATTCCAACATCACAGCACTTTGAACGCCGGCCGAAACGAATTTCACCATCAACGACAGCGCGGCGTTGGTCGAGCCGCCTCCCACATGTTGCTCCTCCGTCTTCTCCTGCGGCGTCGCGATAGCAGCTACCTCGGACATGTCACTGCCGCCAGAAGTCACCGACGAAGCGTCCGTAACCCTGTCAATCTCATTGGGAGGCGGCGGTTCCCGTCACAGTTTCTTGGTCCGCCTATTGCCGACATCGACCTTCCGCTGGACGCGATCCGCCAGTGCATTCGTCTCGTCCAGCATCTCGACCTGATAGACGAGCTCGTTGTGGATCATGTCCCCCGTCCGGTGGAGGCTGTGGACAACGGCTCCCAGCTGCTTCACCCGTTCATCCTGCTCCTTGATCTTGTCCTCATTCAGCTGCAACACTCCCACATTCTCCCGCTCCCTTGTCTCGTCCGTCTCCTGCAGGACTTTCCCGAGCCGCCTCCCCACCGGAGTTTGCGGTATCAACTTGGCCCTTCCACTCTCGCTCGCAACACCCTGCTCCCGCCCGCCCCTTCCGCTCCTCGCCAGTTCCGCAGCTAGTTGTTCCGATAGACTCCTATCCCTCTTGGCTGCCTCCAGCGCGTCCCTGCGCCGGTTATACTCTCCCGCCCCCAGCCTCCCAGCCTCCTTCATCATACTCAGCCCCTCCTCCAAGGGGCCCATCAAACTCCCCGCCTTGATCAGCGCCTTCCTCGCCTGCGCCTCAGCTTCAAGCTGCTCCCCCATCTCACCAACTCTCTCCCGCCTATCCAGCGCCGCCCTCGCCACTCCTAACTCCCTCTTCATCTCCTTGACTAGATCAAGCCATGTCGCCGGGTCGCTCGCCGCCGCGAGATTCGCCTCCCTCAAACCAATGGCGGGTACCCTCCCCTCCGCACTCAACCCCGACACCGACGCTCCATTAGCGGAAGGTAGGTTCAGAAACGCCCTCCAGACACTCGTGTCGCGCCAGCGGCGGTCGGGCGGCTCGGCGATGGCGCGGAGATACCTCTCGAGCCCCTGCCGGCGCTGCTCCGTGAGCTCGGGCGAGTTGACGGTGGAGCGGAACCAGGACTTTGCGGGGAGCGGGGCGGGCGGTGGGCAGCCGACCTGGGAGGTGAGGGATTGGTGGAGGGCGGCGAAGTCCGAGTAGCGCTTTTGCACGACGAAGGATTTCAGCGGCAGGCGGATCGTGATGTTGTAGAGGGTGTAGGGTTTTTTGGAGGGCGAGTCTGCGAAGGGGGTGTGTAGGGAGGTGGTGGGGATGGAGATCTCCAGCGGGGGCGCCATGCCGGTGGTGGGTTGGGTTCAGTTCTGTTCGTAGTTCTCGTCGGCTTGTAATTATACGAGGGGGGTTTGGCGGGAACGGAATTGGCGTTATGTTCTCGACTTGTCGGCGAAACTTGATGGTGTAAGATATCTCCTCGAATGGCAATTAAGGGACGGATCAAGCGCTAAACAGCGACGCGCAATCACCGGGATGGCCGGAGCGTTGGTCGATGTTTCCCGGACAGGTACGAGCCTCTGGATAAGACGTCAGTTGAAAGGAGCTAGAGAAGGTATAGCAGGCGGACTGGTGTAGCAGTAAAGTATAGGAGAAAAGAGTGGACAAATGTGCAGTGTACGAATATCCCGAGGTATGAAATGCCAAAACCAGATGAACGGAGGTGTCGAACCTGTTGTTTGACGATAAATGATGCCTGGCAGGTGACCGCTGGGAACGAGATCACTTGTGTCATCGAGCGCCGCGTTGGGCCGGCCCGGCTGGCTTGGCACGGCCCCACCAGCCCCACTCATCCAACAACCGACACTCAAAATGGAAACTCCCGTCCCGTCTTCACATTCATGCCCGGTGAGCTTATCGCAATTACGGAGTGCACACAAAGCCGGTGTTGCTGATTACCAGGTATTGGAGCGGGACCTGGTTGGGTATCGATTATGAAGCCAGGCTGCTGTCGGTACATTGCGGTTTATCTGCCTCCACCTACTCTCAGATGCATCATCAGCAAGCGAACATCAGACATCAATTAACAGCAAGGACTGTCGTGGCGTCAATAATCGCCTTTACCCTACATGTTCTCACAGACGGTCCATTGCGCGCGGGCTAAGCTAAAAGGCCAAGGAACGACCATGGAGCAGCACCAAACAAGGGGTATAGAGGGAGGATACATCCCAAGAGAAGTCCCGTAGCCATTCCCAACCGCGCTCCGTGTCATATACATCATGCTGGTCGGGGCGCACCCGTAGCCAATAAATTACCTCCTCAAAACTCTCATCACACTCGGTCTATCCCTCTGTATTTTCGCCCTGCTTGCCAACGTCAATCGTGTGCCTGTTCAGAACGTCTCCTGGTCGTCCACCTGCTCCGAATCGGGAATTTCGAAGCCCTCCTCGGTCGAGTAGAGGATGGTCTGGATCTGCTTGATCAGACCATCCTCCTGCTTCTCAAGTTCGGGGTCCTCCTCGACAGCCTGCTGGATGAGAAGCTCAATGTCGCGCAGCTTGCTAAAGTAGAAGTCGCGCTCCCGCTCGAGCCCGACGACCGTTTCCTTGAGCGTGTTGTTCTCCTGCTGCAGTGCCGCAGTCGCAGCACCACCGGCGGGCTTGACGGTACCAGCACGGGGGCCTGTCGTCGGAGTTGTGCCGCCGGGGCGTCTCGCAGCACCGCTGGTCGTCCGGGGAGCCGGTGCGCCAGCCGAAGGCAGCGGCGCGCCTTTCCTTCTGCCAACGGCGTCGTACTCGCCGCCCGGGTAGTACTGGTCCCAAAACTTCTTTGTCCACTGCAGGAACTCGAGGTTGTCCTGCATCTTGCACTTGACAAGCGACTCCACGGGGATGGATCGTTCGATGTGATGCTTCGTGAAGGTGCCTACGCGGTCATCTTGTCAGGAACCCACGCCAGCTGACAGAGCTGTACTCGAGCTTGGCAAACATACTCTGCAGGATCTTGAAATTTTGGAGGTATGCATATTCGGTGTTGACGTTGAACTTGACGCGCGACATGGGCACGTCAAGGAAGATACTGTCGTACACCTGGCAGAGGGCGGCGCTGTTTGTCGTAGGTTGCATGGTTAGCCTGGCTTGCTTACTCGTCTTCCGCTTCCCCACCGCGGGGCAGGGACTCGGGACCTACCCCGTGCCGCACTGCTCGACCTTGGTCATGTTGAGCTGGAGGAGGCTGTTCAGCCATTGAATGAGTTCTTGCCTGGGAACAGATGGCGTGTCAGTGCGCGTCCGGGGCAGTGTCGATCGCAAGCCGCGATGCCAGGCGCGAATCGGGTAGAAACGAACCGAGACTCGCCCATCTTGACTGCTCAAAGCTTGTCTGGTGCGGTATGGGGGGTAAGCGTATGCGATAGAGATGGTGACCAGAGCCGCAAACGAGGGGAGGAGTACAAGCGGGAGAAGGTTCGTTTGGAAAAGGGCAAAGACCAGGCAGCGACGAAATGTAGATGTGGAGGAAACTTCTGCTCCAGTCGCCGCCAGTTGATGATCTTCGAAATCAGAACCGAAATTCGGGGCTGTCGGCCAATCAACCATGGTGGGGCATCAACTGTGATGCAATCTTGATTGGTCCGTGCGGCATTCCGCCAAGCAGAGTCACCTGAGTGACTCCCCTGAGCGCTATTCTCCACTAGGGTTACGGATCTCAACGGCAATAAATGAAACTGAAATGAAAAAGGGCAATGAGAATTTCGAAATTTCTAGAATTCGCCATACTTAATTTGGCAAGAAATATAGCTTTAAATCAGGTTATATGAGTAATGTAATCTACTGTTAGCTCGGACACTCTACGAGTTTGAACTCATTTTCCCTCACTATAACTATCTAACTTTAATACGCATTTTTTTTACTATAAGAATACTTGATAGCTTCCTTATCAGAGTCCATGGCAGAGACCCTCTGAGGCCCTGGGAGAGAGAATACTTAAGCAAGTAGTTGCGTAGCAATGCAATGATCATTGCATTAGCAGATCTTTTAGTCTAATTAGCACAAGGATTTACTGCGCAGCCTCTGACATTCCTAGAAAGCCGAGTTCTTCTCATAATCAATGCGATTTGATCAATACCGCGCTTAGTATCAGATGCGCTACAGAAATCTATAATGTCCTCTATGGTAATAAATAGAATAATGGGAAAGATTACGAAGTCCGATAGCTTTACGGCCATGTGAATTTAATGAAAATTGAAGAAGAGGCTATTGTTCAATATCTACTCGACTGAACCACTTCGTTATATAATGTCTAGAGCTAAAGACGTATTTTGATTACGTATATAACTATTGGAGAGGCCACTGCGAAGACCTTGTAATTATCGAACTATAGTTTCAACTAATTACTAGTATATGAGCGGAATATAGTATCTCGAATCACGACTTCTATAACTTCGACGAAACTAACTCTATAATAGGTATAACGTTAATATAGCTTAGAATAGTAGTTATATACTGTGATTATAAGGAAAGGTAGTCCCTGCGCCTAGCTACCTTGTTATGCTACAGATACATATTCTATATTATTTACTTCTTCCTTTCCTTAGCTTTTGATTAGTAAAATTGAGTAGTATTTGCAGCGCCCTCAGTGCCTCGCTTGTATATCATTGTCACGGGATTCCCCGTTCTAATTCTCATGGTTATGTCATATGCCTGCGGTTATGCATACGTCATGAGTCTGATGCATATATCTGTGGTCACGCTTACGCATGAGCCTCTGCTCCAGTACTTAAAGTCTGGTTGCACGCCCGTTCCTGTCATCTAGCTCTTGCTCTCGTTGTAGCAATATCGATCTTGTATGTGCGAGCTGACCAGATGTGACGAATCTCAAGCCCCAACTTTTGAAAGGGATCCTGAAGGTTATAACTTGATAACGGGGTGAGGTTCGGTGAAGCCAAAGGGTCACAATAAGCAATGTCCAAAGGTACTGACAATCTTGCACTTGAGTTGCTCACTGGAGAACTCCCAGAGTCCTCCAGAACGAGTGACTATATACTTGGTAGAGCGTTCATGATCGCCTATGATCGCAGTCTACCAAGAGCTATCCTTGATCGCCTTGGGTAGCCAGCTACCCAAGTCTACCCTTGATCGCCCGGCCCCCACGGCTACCGTGTGGGCCTCGTGCGGTTCCTGCAGTTCTGTCTTGTGCCCCACTGGGCCTGTACATATGGTTGGTTCGTGACACCAGGCCCAGCCCGTTATACGGTTTAATTCAATTGAACTAGATTACAGG